TAAACTACTTGAACTACTTGAATTATTAAAACTACCTGAACTACTTTAATTACGTACCTAAATGAAAGCACTTGAACAATCTGAACTACCTGATTCAATACCTGATCTTCCTGAACTACTTGAACTACCTCAACTATCTCAATTTCCTCAATTACCTTAATTATCTGAACTACCTGACTACTTGAACAACGTACCTAAGCTACCTAAGGTTCTAAAGTTATTTTATGCCTGAAATATTGCCTTTTACATTCCCTAGACTCGAATTCCTACAAAGATATGATTCACATCAAGAGGAAGGGAGGAATGGGGCCTTTCCCCACGTTTCATTAAACTGAAAGTATGCCGGAAGACCTTGGCATTTAGAAGCCTCAGGAATTTCAAGTATTTATTACAATATTATCCCTGCAATGCATATGCTTAAAATCTTGTATTTACTGCTCCCTGCATAAATTTGGAGTATTATAATGCCTTGGTAACTGTTATGTATACTGACATGGTGCATAGATATAAATATATCTATCTAAACTCAGATTTTTTATCGGATTATTGTTTTAAGGTAAATCATAAATGTTGTGCTTTATGATTAGCAATTTGTAAATCGGCCTTTCTATGACTATGGAAAATCCTTTATTATTTAAATGGCATTAGTCAGTGATCCATATTTTTACAGACATAACGGTTGGATCAATTAGTAAATGTAAACTGATTATGAAAAAGAAAGGGCTAAGAACCGCTCCTGAAATACGCCCTTTTGTAATGACTAGATATGAGTTTGATTCTGCAGGATTCTCCTGGAGATTCTCCTGCACCTACAGGAGCTGAGAATAGTGCTCTTACTATGGATACTCTAGCAGATACAACTACTAATATAGGTAACTATTCCAGCATGATCAATTACTTCTTTGATCATCTAAACAATAAATAAATTAGTTGCTTTTTGACAAGGATAGTGAATCAATCAACCAGTTTCCTATTCAAACAGCTAATAAACAAATCAACCAGTCAATTATCAAATACCTATCCAAGTACAATTATTTACCTATCCAAACAGATCAATTGATCAGTAACCTCAAACAGTTAACTAATCGATTTAATCAGTTACTTTAACAAACATATAATCAATAAATCAGTCAAGTACAAATACAAACAGGTAAATAATAAATTCATCAATTAACTTGTTTTACAGAAAATCAATAACTCAAAGGTTTTAACTTTTTATAATTTAACAAATTCATACTTTAATAAAAAAAAAATTAATAAACCAACCAATCACACTTGCAGTAAAGTAATAGGATTCAATAAGACACGTTCGGATTCAAAATTTTTTCTCTGTAGGTTTTACTTTTCTTACAAGCATACTTGAAAAATTGCATGAAAATATATGACATAATATATCAGAGTTTTTTCTTTGTTTTGAAAGGGGGAGAAATACACCCCTGGAAAAGAATATAAATGAATACATTCCTGGGTAAAATCCTGAATTTGAAACTTGTAAAAGCGCCAGGAAAACAGTTGAAATAGCTTAAAATGCCAATTTAAAATTTTAAGTTTTAACCTATGGACAAATTAACCTTAAGTGATCTGAAATATTTCAAATAGAATTCGATGTTTAGGAAAATTTTAATCTATATATAAGTTAGGATGTTTGTATGTGTCCAATAAACGTCAAAACGGCTGAACCAATCGGGTCTAATTTTTGTGTGGGAACCCACATGAGTCCAAGAAATGCTTATATCCATAACAATGCAAAGTTTAGCGCCTGAAAAAAATGTTGACAGTTGTTAGTTTCAAAAATTCACTTAATAAGACAAAAAAATCGACACAAATATTGGATATTGAGGAAAAAATTTGAAGCTACAGTTAAAGATAAAATTGACAATAGAACGAGGACGCGAAGCGCCTGAAAGGCAAAAAATAAGACGAGGTTTTATCGTCATAAGGAAACAGACAGTATAAATTCCGTACAATCGTCTCTGAAGTCTCATCCTTTGTGGGTAACCCTGTATATACTTTATCAATTGTCTAGAACATGAAAGCAAAGTTTCCCCAGACCTTTAAATTCCTGCTTTGTCATGCATCATGAATTCTACCCTTGCCCTTCAAACATTCAAAGATAAATATCAAGATAATACATTTCTCTTCTTTTATCAGACATATACTACATTTCTCTTATTTTATCAGACATATACTACATTTCTCTTCTTTTATCTGACATATACTACATTTCTTTCCTTTTATCAGACATATACTACATTTCTCTTCTTTTATCAGACATGTACTAAATTTCTCTTCTTTTAACAGACATACAATACATGTCTCTTCTTTTATCAGACATATACTACATTTCTTTCCTTTTATCAGACATATACTACATTTCTCTTCTTTTAACAGACATATACTACATTTCTCTTCTTTAACCCCAGACATATACTGCATTTCTCTTCTTTAACCAGACATATACAACATTTCTCTTCTTTTATCAGACATATACTACATTTCTCTTCTTCTATCAGACAGATACTACATTTCTTTCCTTTTAACAGACATATACTACATTTCTCTTCTTTTATCAGACATGTACTACATTTCTCTTCTTTTAACAGACATATGCAACATTTCTCTTCTTCTATCAGAAAGATACTACATTTCTTTCCTTTTAACAGACATATACTACACTTCTGTTCTTTTGTCAGACAGATACTATATTTCTTTCCTTTTATCAGACATATGCTACATTTCTCTTCTCTAACCAGACATATATACTACATTTCTCTTCTTTTATCAGACAGATACTACATTTCTTTCTTTTCAACAGACATATACTACATTTCTCTTCTTTTATCAGACATATACTACATTTCTCTTCTTTTATGAGATATATACTACATTTCTCTTCTTTTAACAGACATGTACTATATTTCTCTTCTTTTGTCATTCATATACTACATTTCTCTTCTTTTATCAGACATATACAACGTTTCTCTTCTTTTGTCAGACATATACTACATTTCTCTTCTTTTATCAGAAATATACTACATTTCTCTTCTTTTGTCATTCATATACAATATTTCTCTTTTTTATCCGACAAATGCTACATTTCTCTTATTTTATCAGACGTATACTACATTTCTCTTCTTTTATTAGACAGATACTACATTTCTGTTCTTTAATCAGACATATACTAAACTAAAGCAACCCCCGGCTTAAAGCTTGGTTTTAATATGCTTGAGGCCTTAGGCATGCTGCCTGAACGTCTTGTTTCAACTAAACCAGGATCTATATGTAGACCCCCTTTTAGTTATTAAATTTGATCATTTTATAGCTGTTAGGAACGCCCATGACAAAAGAAAGAAGATTGCAAAAATTTTGCAATTATTTTTGAATATTTACATTTACAGGGTGAAAGATTTTTTTTAAAAACGTAAATTTATTATATTTCGCACAATTTTTGTTTTCGTATATAAATGGTTTAACAATTGGATTTTGCAACATACGGTGGTAAGCGTTTACATCACCACAATGAAGACGACTTTTTATTTAAGTTTTGATTGTTAACAAGGTTTCTTCGAATTACAAGTTTGCAAGTAGTGAAAAAAAGCTTTTTTAATCGATAATTTCTTTTGACTTTTATGTTTCTGTGTATCCATGTTGTTTAACATCTAAGTTTAAATGAAATATTTAATTCGAAAATCGGCTTCTTTGTATTGATATAATCGCCTACCACTGTATGTATTTGGATTTTTGCAAATTTGCATCTGTTTTATTCGAGTCACATTCCCCAAACAAATACATTTAAATTTTTGTTTCAGGATAAAAATGTTTTTAAATGTTAAACTTTCTATTGTTCTAATTTGCCTTTATCTTAAGACCCCCCCCCTCTCCTCTCACCTGACAGCGGGTGACCTTGTAATACTAAAAGCTGTTTATTTTGTTTAGCATATAGAGAAGAATTCTTCCTGTAAAAAAGGGCATTAAGAGGGACGGGGAAAAAGGGATCTTAAAGCAGTGAAAATTAAGGTCCTAACATATTTTATGCATCATGTAGTACAGGAAAAACTTGAAAATTGTTTGGCTTTTCCTGTTTTTGTTGTTAAACTAGCTGAAGGGCCCGGCGTTGCCCGTGGAAAAAAAGAATTAAAATAAATTAAAAATTTTAAACAAAAAAAATCGATTTTTTTAGCCTATATCACCCCCCGGCCGGCCACCTATGAGTGTCCACAAAATAATTCAGCCCAATCGGTCCAGCCGTTTCGCCGGCTATTTGCAACATATATATATACGAATGTCTTGTTTTATTATATAGATTATAGATTTTAATTAATGAGTTTATAAATCAAATTTTAACTTGTTTTCCTAAACCCTATCCGCGAGGAGAAATGTTAAGAAAATGTTAAGTAAATATGCTAGATTACTCCCTAGGCAAAACATTTTTATAAATTTGCAAGTTTGCCAAAAAATAATCAAACTTTAAACATTTCATAACAAAGATAATCCCTATGTTTGCAAGCCTATCAGGATGAGATGTGAAATAGAGAAAACCAGGATTAAAAACTTTGTTTAATATTACACATTATTTCTATTAATCTATAAAATACACGCTCACACGCTCACAGCAATCCAAAGCTTGCAAGCTCTCAAGCAAAAACCTAAATACCAATTATCAAAAACCAATTATTTAAAACCTAAAGCTAATAATGATGCTTTAAAGTTCTAAAATGTACAATGTAGTACATTGTTCTTGTCTATGACTACAAAAAATCAAAGTCAAATCTTTAATAACCATCAAAGAAAGAATTCAACTGATTCTTGGGATTTACATCTGATATTTGGCCGCCATTTTGCCCTCCTCTTTTCAGCTGATTTCCACGTGGACTCACTTATAAATATATTAAATATCTTGTTTCTGATTGAAGCAGAATTTGATGACTCTACATGTAATTTTAAACTCTGAGAAAATTCACCCAAACAACAAAAATATCCAAAAGAAACTGACATTGAAGGGGAAATGTGTATAGTGCTAAGTGTAAAACGAAGTGCTAAGTGCGCTCAAACAGTTACAAACTTTATTGATTGATGGTATTACGAGTTGAACAATTTTCTAACATAGCTAGACATTTTGGCTTTGGCTTGCACGTTATACAAGTAAATATGGAGAAACTTATTGACAGCTACTCTTTGTTTCAATGTTTGTGTGTATTAATGATGTTCAGAAGCTTTATATAAATCAAAATTGAAATCAAAAGTCGTCTTCATTATACTGATCATCGCCTACCACAGTAGTTGAGTAGAATAACCAAAGATCGAGATCAATGATTGATCTTGACTCCACGATACAAGATTTTAGTTCATTTCATTCTAATTTAAATCTTGCATTTATTATAACTCAAACTCTTTTCAAAGAAATTATAAATTCATAATATTCCTTTTTTCTTACTGTTGGGATTTAAAGCAAACTGAAGTTTAATTGCAATTCTGGAATGCTCTGTAACATTACATACCATATAATTACGCTTTATGTAATTACACTTGTAATGATGACATGTTGCTATAATTTACTTTTTATAAATACACTTCATATAAAATGATTTTTCCAAACCTATATTTTTGGCCTTTTTGTCTTTTATAAATACAAAAAATATGCTTGTTAAAGGGAGTGTTCGCGAAAAATGAAAGGGGGTATAGGCTTAATGCGATAAAAAAGCGCTTTTGATTGCTACTAATCTTACTTCTATCTGTTGCGTCTATAAGGAGAAAATTGTTAAAAACGACTCACACCGAAGAACGCAGCGCCCATACAAATTCGGAAAGATGCAACATTCAACTCGGATCGTAAACAAATCAATTTAATTCCCAACAAATCATTCAGATATTACAAACAATAGTCATCGGTTATTTTTCGACGCATTCATACATAGTTAATATTTCATAATATTTTTGATTTTGTTTTTTTAGATTAATTTTCGCTGGCGCTGGATTTTCGAACATTCCTGGAAAATATGAAAATGTCGTCTTCATTATCAAAAATCCTCGAAACAGGAAAAAATGTAACTCTCAGATCATGAAAAATACAAAATATTATGAAATATCAACTATTTACGAATGCGTCGAAAAATAATCGATGACTATTGTTTGTAATATCTGAATGATTTGTTGGGAATTAAATAGATTTTTTACGATCCGAGTTGAATGTTGCATCTTTCCAAATTTGAATAAACACTACGTTCTTCGGTGTGAGTCGTTTTTAACAATTTTCTTCTTATGGACGCAACAGATAGAAGTAAAATTAGTAGCGATCAAAAGCGCTTTTTTATCGCATTAAGCCTATACCCCCTTTCATTTTTCGCGAACACTCCCTTTAAGAAAAAAAAAATATTTTTTAGGAGAGATGGACATTAGAATTGCCGGTAAATACAAGCTGGGGCGTAAAATTGGAGGAGGAGGTTCTTTTGGTGATATATACTTGGGTAATTATAGTTTCTATTCCTAGATAGTTTCTATTCCTAGATAGTTTCTATTCCTAGATAGTTTCTGTTCCTAGATAGTTTCTATTCCTAGATAGTTTCTATTCCTAGAAAGTTTCTATTCCTAAATAGTTTATATTCCTAGATAGGTTCTATTCCAAGATAGTTTCTATTCCTAGATAAGTCATATTCCTAGATTATGGTATAAGTATAAATAATATATTATTCAGCTACTGAAGTGAATACAGCGGAAGAAGTTGCAGTAAAATTAGAACATACACAAACAAAGCATCCTCAACTTCATATTGAATGCAAATTCTACAAGGTTAGTTAATCTATAGTGATAGCAATGCATAATAATAATTACTATTATAATAACGATAATAATTACAGAAAAAGAAAAAATTTTCTGTAAACATGAATTTTGAAAATCGTCCAATAACATGGTGGAAGACGACTTTGTTACTTTACACGGTGTATTTGAGAGATAAGCCATCTGTCCTACACACGTCCTAATGTTTATAAAAACTAGAAACAAGCATGTTGCAATTTTAAAATGTGAATGCCTAGGACTACAAAAAAAGTAAAATGGCGAGGTATAATTTCAAAGGCCATGGCACTGAGACACTTTAAAGTCGAGGTGGTTTAAAAAATTAATGAATAACTTTCAAAGTTGTAGTTGAGCTCAAAGGGGGGGGGGTTCGAAATGTGGCTCTAAGAACTGGCAGAGTTGGCTCCCTGGAGAAAGCAGTGGTGTTCGTCCTGTTCATATTGAGCTTGGATAATGTGACATAGAACACTCTGAGTTCAGAATGTCCCTGTCTATCTGTGAGAATTGACTTAAAGCAAGGTTGTACACCCATCTTATCTTCAGGATACTCCAGATTTTTTGAGAAATTGAGATGGTTTGAAGAAATCAAGAAAAATTATTTACCAGCGAACTCTATTCTATTCTCTGTAGATGTTACAGGATTGTACACAAATATACCTCAGGATGATGGTCTAGAATTCTATATAGAAGCTCTTGAACGCAGAACTGATAAATCTTTCTCTACGTCATTTTTGATTAAGCTGCTAAACATTTGTTTGAAAAATAACATAGTCGACGCGCGTTCCAATGTTCGGAGAATCTCGTCTCCAAAGATAGATAGATAAAACCTAATATGACGTCACTCTCACCTTTAAGATCAGTAATCTATTCAATGGCATCCAGGCGGGGTGGGGGGGGGGGGGGGTAGACTGATCTTATTTTAACTAATGAATGAATTGTCCTCGTTTCCTAGTTAGATAAATTAAGATTCTAATAAAGAAAGAAAGTTTTGAAGATATTAGGACTTTCCTCAGCTTTGCTGACAACATAAATATAAAAGTTTTAAATATGAAAATCTTAATTCTTAATCTAGAAAAAGAAGAAGAAAAAAACCCCAAAGATAATTTTGTATATATATATATTATATATATGCAAACTAGACAGTAAAAACGGTACAATTTATGAGAGATTACTGGTACAATTTTGTGACCTAGTAGCTCCTCTGGTTTTGAGCATACGCAGAAGTTTGAGAAAAGTAAATTTATTGATTTTATCTTTTAAAAGCGAGTGTGCTTATACACTAACTAAACTCTGAATTATTTAATTTATATGTTATGCATTGAACAATAATTTGTATTGTTTTGTTATCTAGCTTGGTGCTATAATATTACAAACATTAAACCAATATTGCATGTGCTTTAGTATAGGTCAGACTTGTATTGCACTGCACATGTCTAATTCGGCCCAGTGGCCGGCAGCATTATCATTTACCATACTGTACACTGTACACACCTCATATCTCTATGTATGTACTGTCTGTGGGCGGTAATGTAAACACAATATGAATGTCGAAGTCTGACATGGGATCCATCTTTCACATAAAAAAATCAATGAAATATTCTGGTCATAGGAAACAATTATGTGAATTATCAAAAGTATTCAAATTTAATGCTTTTAACCTCCTCGGATACTAAACGAACACTGATGCATATATTCTTGTTTACAAATTCCGCCTAGAGAGAACTGGTTTCAATATGTACGCAGAGTAAACGCAACTTCAGTTAACTTTTCTTGCATTATAAACTTGGTTTGGGTGTTGTTTGTTTATTTGTATAGCTGATCATAACTCAGGAACCTCGTAACCAATTTGCCTCTACTTTGATTTGGGAACCCTGTAACGCACAACCTACGTGTACATTTAAATATCCGAGCTGGGCCAACCTTTTCCGTCCTAGTTTGGACTGTACCGCCAACTATACAGTTTCTAAAGCGGCAGACCTGTACAACCATGGAAATACTCATAGCGTGGTGGTTTAAAAATTACAAATCTAGTAGGTCAACTTTTTATTAAAAAATAATTGTTTCCGGCCAACGCTGGGTTCCCAAGCTAGTTTAAGTTCAATTTGTTTAGGTGATGCAAGGGGGAGTAGGAATCCCTGTTGTGTACTACTACGGTACAGAGGGGGAGTACAATGTTATGGTTATGGAACTACTCGGTCCCAGCTTAGAGGATTTATTTAACTTCTGTAACAGGTACTCGGTCCCAGAAAAGAAATTTATTTTGACAGAGATAAAGTGTCTACCTGAAAATAGCTAGTTTAATAAAAGTTATAAAATTTTAAATGAATGCACTTGTATGGGGCTTATGTAACACTTGTATCACAATCTAATTTTTATATCTTTGCAACCTGATGTCGTAGACCTTAAATTTTTCACCCTATGAATTCTGTTGGTTCTAATAGTCAAAGTTTGAAATGTCAAATTAGAATCTGTGGAAATTTTTTTCTTATTTTTAAATATAGACCATTTTGAGACGTATAGAGAGAACAACTAAAAATATTCAAAATTTTATTTTTGATTTGTTAGAAATATGTTTTAAACCACAAATATTATTTATGGAATATTTTAATTTCTTTTTACCCAGCTTATCAAAACTTTTGCAGAACATCCCCTTATTGAGTTTTTTGTTGAAAATAAAGTTATTAAATTATATTTCAGGAAACTGAGTTTAAAAACTGTATTACTCCTGGCAGATCAGCTGGTACACTTTTCTTTTTATTCATCTATCTATTTATCTATCTATCTATCTATCTATATATCTATCTATATTTCTTCTATCCATCTTTCTATGTATCTATCTATATATCTATCTATCTATCACTATCTATCTATCTATCTATCTATCTATCTATCTATCTATCTATCTATCTATCTATCTATCTATCTATCTATCTATCTATCTATCTAACTATCCAGCTTTCTATCTATATCGATGACTGAGTAACCCACACAAGAAGAAACTTTAATTACGTTAAAAAAATGTTGTTATTACAAAATAGAATTTAGGTTTATTCCTAACATATTTCGAAGACAAATTATTTACGAACAAAAATTGTCTTTTGTAAACTTTTCATAATTAAAAGAAAATCTCAGTCAAATATTCGCCACTGAAGTCAAAATGTTTTTACTTTTTAAGCTGCTAAAACATCCCAATAAACAATGAAAACTATCTCAAATCGAGATTAAATTGTCATTTAATCGTGAGCACTCAAAAACTTCAAAATTTATTTTTACATCTTACATTTTCTATACCAAGGTACTAATGCAAGGAAAGTTACTGTCTTTGGGCGGAAAAGTAAACACAAGACGGATGTCGAAGCCTGAGATGGAATCCATTTTCACAAAAATAATTTTTGAAATATTCTGGTCATAGGAAACTATTATGTGAATTTTCAAAATTATCAAAATTAAATGTTTTTAACCTCCTTGGATACTAAACGAACACTGATGCATTTATTCTTGTTTACAAATTCCGCCCAGAGAGAACTAGTTTCAATATGTACGCAGCGTATACGCGACGCTACCGCAATTAACTTTCCTTGCATTAGTACCTTGTTCGGCACAATCTTTGTCATTCATTAACAGCCGTCTCTGAATTTTTTATTAAATATTCGGGTGTTTTACAAGTCGTCTCTGAATTACCAAATGTATTGTGACACCCTCACGCACCTCTGACCCTTTAGTAAAAGTTAATTTAAAGTCTGACCGCGTCAACCTTGTTGCACTGGCCAGTCCTATATTGAGTGTGCGCTTTATTTACACAATGTCCGGGCGATACAGTACAAACTGGGACGGAAAGGTTGACCCGGCTCGGAAATTCAAATGTACTATACGGCTGCCTATGTAATATGAATTATCACTTTGTATAAATATTTCTAGATCAGCAGAATAGAGTTTATCCATGGGAAGAACTTTATCCACCGTGATATGAAGCCTGATAATTTTCTCATGGGTCTGGGGAAAAAGGTAAATCTTCCCGATAGCGGGGGAAATATTTTTATGGGGGGGGGGAAATATTTTCATGGATTGAAATTTAAAATTTTATCTTTGAAAAGCCTTATCTATACTTAAAGAAACTGTAAGCGTAATTTCAAGTGACCCTCCAGGCAAAGTTGGCAATACCCGATTTACAACGATACCCTCGAAACCTTAATCTGATCAAAAATGTGTAAGATAACGTTGTTATAAGAAACAAAACCATAGATAGCCAAATCATACTTGAGCAGATAAAGTTTTCATTGGAATAACTTAACATTGCCATCTTTGCAAGGATGGTCACTTTTAAATACAAAAATATTTATGCTTTTTGCTAAAAATGAAGGATCAAAAATACATTTATGATTAAGTTTGAATGAAAAAGGTTATATTTATTACGGTTTGGCAATAAGTGTTTCAATCCTCTACTTTCTGCAATGAAATTCTTAATCTTAATCGCCATATTGAATTCAAAATTTTAGATAAATTTAAATAAATATATTTGGTAAAATTATGCAGGGAAACCTTGTGTATGTGATAGATTTTGGACTTGCAAAAAAGTTTCGTGACCAGCGAACACATCAGCATATTCCATACAGGTACATAATAATATGAATTAAATCTTTGACACAAACTCAAATTTTATTATCTCCCAGAGCCTTCGATTAAAAAGCTTCGGCTCGAGTCGTAATTCGTTCAACCCAGGTTTAAGGCTCAATCTTAGACGACTAACTCTGACGACATCTTGTGTCACGTGATTGACAGCTGAAAGATCTTCGGCTTGACTTACGAAGTTAGGCCCACTGAAAATAAAACCGACCTTGGTTGGTTTTAGTGTAGAATTCGTCGCAATGTTGAGTCTTACTCTAATCAAATCCACAAAAATTCTCAAATACGATATTAAACCGGTTTTTATCAACTCAACTATGTGGATTATTAGTTGCAAACTTGCAACTTGTCTCAAGACTCGAGCCATGCCCGTAAATAAGGCTTAATGATAGCTTAGACCTGAGTCGTATTTACCGAATTTTAAATCGCGGGCTCTGATATTGTAAACCTTTGATATTTTGAAATCAGATCATATATTTGACCAAACAGAGATGGAATTTAAAGAATTTGAGCCGCGGTTTAAATTCGCCAAAATCCAGTTTAAATAGTTTAAATTAAGCGCCGGCTTAAATCTTGAAACATTTGATACAATTTTAAGTGGAACCAACCATATTTAAACCGCGGCTTAAATTAAAACCGCCGCTCAAATTCTTTAAATTCGGCCACAGAACTCATAAATTTTCTATTGCAAAAGTCTACGACATCGACATAGGGATTATTAAAAATCACAGTGTGTGGCAAAGACTTAATACTTTTAAGATTTTATGAAACTATTGTGTAATTTATCATTCTTACTCACTTCATCATAAATTTCATAATGAACGTGCTATAAAGTAATCATCGTGCTATAAAGTTAAATTAGCTGTACATTATAGCACGTCTGCTTTTAAGTTTTGATTGGTTCCCGGATTTTTCAAAAAATTTATGACATTTCCAAAATATGTTTTTCAATTAAAATGAAACTAATATATAATCAACTTTATTTTGACTTCTGCTTTGTTTTAAAACTTAATTGATCTAGACATAGCCACTAAAATAAGACAAGTACACAAACTTTTCATAAAATTACCTATATCACTATTATTTTGGTACGACGTGCTATAAAGTTTTTGGACTTCAATTGTCTCTATATCTCGAAGGTTATCGTCTTTTTAGATTATATTATTTTGTTCCTAGCTAAAGCTAGTGACCAAATTAAATCTGAAAGGGCTTGAACCTTCTCGATAAAGAGAAAATTTCTGTCAAAAAAAAAATTATATAACTGCGAACCAAAATAATTTAATGTTATAAATAGTTATTATCAATGTTTGGGTAGAAATATTAATATTTTTATATGAATTAGCTGGCCTTTTCAATTCACTGTTAATCTTTTGAAGTTATGTTTCTTGTATACTAAATATACGAGTTATTAACTCATGTCAACTAAATAAAATAATATTTTGATAAAATTGTGTTTTTTTCTGCTCATACTACCATTTTTTCGTCAAAAAGCTACTACACAGTTACATGTTCATACAAATTTTTCTTGGATTCTAATTTTATCAGAATGTTTTGAATTGGATTTAAACAAGTATTTTTCCAGTAAATCAAATTAAATTATTTTAAGGCGGGCTAAAAATAAATATGAAATACGTCTGAAGAAGCCAAATATAGTTTTTTGTGATGTTTTCGAAACAAATTGTTAATATTACAACAGTTTTTGATTTTTGGTTGGTTGTATTGACGTAACTTGGCGATTTTAACAGTTTAACAACATATGGTTCTTTTGATGCCTATAGTAATCGGTTTAAAATAACCTGCTAGAAATTAGTAAAAAATTAATTTTACTAAAAAAGGTTTTAAAGTTAACTTCTCAAAGAAAAACATGTTTTCTCTATATACAGGGCTACCCATAAAGGATGAGTCTGCATCAGACGATTTGAAAGTTTTAAAATATGACGACCCCAAGTTTGAATTAAGTCTTCTTGTCTTTAAATGGCTTATTCAATGATTTAAAAAGGAAAGAAAGAAGTTTATTGTTGCTGAAACCATGATAATGACGAAGAAAATAGACAGAATAAATTTCGCACAATCGGCTCTAAAGTCTCATCCTTTGTGGATAACACTGTATTATTCTAATATCTAAGACCAATCCTACAAGAAGTAATAAAAGTGGAATTGTAAAAATCGACCCCCCCCCCCTTCCCCCTTCTTCTATCATTATCCTTCTCCTCCTATTGTAATGTTATATTTAAAATATGAAAGCCGGACAAGTTGCATAAAATAATGATCCTTGACTTTACAAGATGAATAGTGTTAAATATGGCTAAATGTTCGAGTTATAAATATGACTGACGTACGTTCAAAGTTTAAAATTTGAATAAAAATTTTTTAAAAAAATAAACGTTTATTATTTTCCAAATTAATGAACTTTAAGTTTATTTTCTTAACTAAAAAGACTTATAAATTTGTTTAAAGATAGGATATTTATGATTCAATTATAAGTAAAATATATCGAATATTATCATTTATTACTATACTTCTATTACACAAATTATTTTTTAGAGAAAACAAAAACTTGACGGGGACTGCTCGATATACAAGTATAAATACTCATCTAGGAATAGGTTGGTTGCATTTATTTGTACAAAATAATAAAGTAGTAATCTCTATTTTTATGTTTGTTTGTATTTTCGATCCAAATTCAGAAACTCCATGACCGATTTGTCTCAAATTTTGATTGGGTATCTGAGAAGAACCATGAGAATATGTTCCTAGATTGATTTTTCTAGGTTAAGTGGGTCGACTTATATAATAGTCAAAATCGGAAGGTTTACGAATGATTGAAATTTTAAAAATTTGTGCTTAAAAGTTTTTTATTTTTGTAAAATTTTGAAAATGCGCGAAAAAATATTATGAAATCCGCAAACTTTTTTTGTTTTTGTTTTATACTGTACAAAGAGAAGATGCTCACAGATAAAGCCACAATTAAAAGTTTAAATAGAAGATGGGCGTGAAGCGCCCTGAATTTCTAGTATTTATACAATCCTTTAGTTTTCTATATTTATATAATCCTCTAGTTTTCTATATTTAGATAATCATCTAGTTTTCTATATATAGATAATCCTCTAGTTTTCTATATATATAGATAATCCTCTAGTTTTCTATATTTAGATAATTCTCTAGTTTTCTATATTTAGATAATTCTCCAGTTTTCCATATTTAGATAATCCTCTAGTTTTCTATATATATAGATAATCCTGTAGTTTTTTATATTTAGATAATTCTCTAGTTTTCTATATTTAGATAATTCTCCAGTTTTCCATATTTAGATAATCCTCTAGTTTTCTATATATAGATAATCCTCTAGTTTTCCATAATTAGATAATCCTCTAGTTTTCCATATTTAGATAATCCTCTAGTTTTCTATATTTAGATAATTCTCTAGTTTTCTATATTTAGATTCATTCATAGTCATATTTTTTATTCAACTACAAAGCACGAGATAATACAAATAAAAAATCACAATTTACTATGTAGTTTGGACCCGCCTAACCAGAGTAGGTTGTTTTAATTGGTTGGCCCACTATAAACGAATGAGAATTGAAGATAAAAACAATGTACATTGTACATTTTAAAAATAAGAATGATAATAAATCAGGTAAAAGGTAAGGAGGAGGTTAGGGAGTATAAAGAAAAGAAGATAATCCTCTAATTTTCTGTAATCAGATAATCCTCTAGTTTTCTATATTTAGATAATCCTCTAGTTTTCTATATTCAGATATACCATAAAGTTTTCGTTACCTAGTTAACAAATACCTTATCAACAAAATATAGAAAAATAAAAGTATTATTCTATATTTTGTAAAGCCTCCAGTTTCGTTATTTAGATAAAGATTTCTTCATCCCTACATGTCTTGAAAATTCACATTGAGTTTTATATTTGGGTTTTCATAAAACTCTTGGAGCCAAGAACTTTTTATTAGTGCTAAGCCACAACCTTAACTAAGTGTTCTGACGCCTAATCGCCTACCACTTTAGCAGTTTGTTTGTAAAATCAAAATTGCGAACTTTTTTTCAAATCTCAAGCAATCTGTTCGAATAAAAAAAATCGTTTATTTTGCAGGATTTCTGCCGAATTATCGACAAAACATCGCGAAAACTCAAACAAAAAATAGCTTATCTGTCAATCATCCAACTTTTGCGCCAGATAAGCAATGTTTTGTTAATTAAAAGCGATTTTTTACGCTTATTTGGCAGTCATTTAACAGAAAACAATGTATTACCTAATGATTATATCCATAAAAAGTTCTCGGCTCTATTTCTATGTAAGCTTGTTTCCAAGTATATTTTAGCCTCATAAATCTACCCGACTTGCAATTGTAAATAGTTGTTTAGAATATATAGGCTAAACAACATTTACAATGAAAATGAGATTATACAGATCGGACAAGGGAAGTTGTTTGTTTTAAAGCTATTTTCGTCTATGATAACTCTTAAAATCATTCTTTTTTATATTGTCAGACAGGGATCATGGTAAACTAAATGTGTGGGTTGACGTGAAGATTTTTCATATTTGCTATATTTTACTTGTAAAAAGTATACTTTTCTGTTGGTCTATATATTTTAAATATTTAACTGTAAAAAGGCATTACTTTTTTTGGCAGATTTTAATTTTTGAAAATTCGATCATCCATAAACCTTCCATAAATATATAGACTATTTTAATTCTGAACTTTTCAAAACTTAAAAAAATTTTACAGAATAAAAATCTTTCAAGAACAATTTTTTTTATTTTGATTATTCCTAAACCTCCCCTGGGGTCAAGCGAGGTGCTACAACGAATTTGGGCCCGATCGGTTCAGCCGTTTTGGCGTTTATTGGATACAAACAAACAAACAAACAAACAAAGTATATGAATAGATTGCAAAGATATTATTGTGAACAAAATTTGCCAAAAAAAAAAACAGATGACTGTCCCTCTGATCCTATCTGTATAATCTGTGAACGATGACATATTGTCCCTCTTATCCTATCTGTCTAATCTGTGAACGATGGCATATCTAAATTGGGTTGTTTTTCAGAACAGTCTCGGAGAGATGATATGGAAGCTCTGGGATATATACTAATTTACTTCCTACAGGGTACACTACCATGGCAGGGACTCAGGCAGGAAAACCATCAACTAGACTAAACTATTTTTTGTCTGCATACTGTTTATCAGCTTGATATAAATCAAAACTGAAATCGAAAGTCGTCTTAATTGTATTGATATATGCGACAGCGACCGTAGATGACGACAAGTCTTTGTAAAAATATAAGTTGTGTCTGATTTTGAAAACTGATTAATTGTTTTTCTTCAATGCAATACAATACTTTTGTATCAGATATCCTCCAGGTGAAACATCTTCTAATTAAGTCTTAAAGTTTCAAATTCAACAAAAACAAGGATAGAGAGAATTTAAGATGTCCAGGTGTCCGAACAAAATACATGGAAATATTTTTCAATCCACAACATTAATTCGTTAATCTAATAATAGTTAAAAATACTTAAACAATAATCAATATATTCTCCTAAATTCTGGGATTCACAAAATGTGGTCTGTGTGTGTTTTAAAAACAAACTGAGATGTCTTGTTATAACCACTAACTAAGCCGAATTTTGAATTAATAGAAGATGATTTCAATGACAACACTGAAAATCAATGTTAATAAAAAATCTGAATAATTGTGTGTTGATGCAGGGCCAAAACTAAAGCTCAGAAATATGAAAAGATCAGTGAAAAGAAACTATCTACCCCTGTAGAGGAACTGTGTGCAGGGGCACCAGGTAAACAATTTGTAAAGAACAAGCAGGGGGTCATTTGGTCCCACCCCCCTCCCGCCGTTCCTTATATAAATACTTCTAGAACTAGAAATATGATTTTTGTTTTGGGAGGTGGGATGATATAATTTTTGTCAAGTTTATTTTTGAAATCAAATTAATGTGTCTCCGTAATAAAAAGATGGACCTTCATATTCAAATGATTCATTTTAGTTTTTTAGATATATTTTTACTCGCAAATCATATTCGGTTTCAGGGGGTCAGTCCATTACCCCCCCCCCCCTCTTACAGAAATTATGGGTTGGTGTACCCCCCCTGGATTTGTACAAAGTCATTACTCTGAAGGCTTTTTAACACTAAAAATAAACATAGAAACTACTTGTAGTCTCCTGTAAGAAAAATTAGCATGATTTTAGAAGCATTATTTACTAAAAGATCAATAATAATAATCGGAGGAAATAAGAAATAATTCTCCCTTTATTAGAATAATATGAAAGGATATGTATACGGTGGAATAATATTAATGATGAATAACGTTAGATATTTCTTTTTACCGTTTTTAGATAAATAACTAACTAACCTATCCCTCTCTGTACATATGTATGTATGTTAAAATAAATTCGAAATATAAGGAAGACGATTTTTCCGACTCAAATGCCGACGTTAATTCTCAATGTTTGTGTACACAGGAAGCAAGCACACCACATGTGTCAAATCCCCGCTCACCTTAGATCCCCGCTTCAACCGGCAGTCAGTTACGAACACTCATATTCACAACTCCATCTCTACCCTGGCTCCTCCATGATGATGATGCAGATACTCAGCGCAACGCACCTGTAGATCTGCCCCACCAACATGAAGCTCTACATCACCCCCCCTGACTCCTCCATGATGATGATGCAGATACTCAGCGCAACGCACCTGTAGATCTGCCCCACCAACATGAAGCTCTACATCACCCCCCCTGACTCCTCCATGATGATGATGCAGATACTCAGCGCAACGCACCTGTAGATCTGCCCCACCAACATGAAGCTCTACATCACCCCCCCTGACTCCTCCATGATGATGATGCAGATNCTGTACAGTACCCTGTACAATTACAACTGTACACTACCCTGTACAACTACAACTGTATACTACCCTTAAGTATAATCGTTGTTTGATTAAGTATTAATTAGATATTCATGTATGAGTTCTTTTTTTCATTTGTGGTTTCTCGTTAAAGAGTCAGATGAACGACTTGTCTTCCTCATTTTTGGTTAGATTAATTTTTCAAGGGTACCGTTGTAAATCGGCCATTGCTATCTTTCCATGAAAGATCACTTGAAGTTACAGTCCCTTTAAAGGCACTGCATAAATACTGTTAAAGCACGTAATATTTTATGCTATGAAAAATGCAAGGAAAGAAATGACAAAAAAAAACAATTGTTTTTAGTTCGTTTTTATTAGTTTTTATGCATGCATAAATTGTCACAGCAGTAGCACTTTATCATTGTATAAAAAAAGCAAATGTTTCAAATAAGCAATTTTAAATGTGTATTAAATTTTTTTTGTAAAAACTAAATATTTTTAATTTGTTAGAAACCTGTTCTACAGACAAGGATTCACATACGATTATGTTTTCGACTGGAATACGTTAAAAGATGTAAGTTTTTTGAAACTAAAAAATAGAATTAGAAGTATTATTTGAACTTTATTTTTTTAAATAAGTTGCAGATATTCAAATAATTTCCAAGTTTTTTCCGTAAAACACCTCATTTTTGGCACATTGCCAGTGTGCAGTGTTGTGAATTACGTAGAAGATAGGACAGATTTTTTTTTGAGCTTGTTGACAACATATTTATATCATCTTAAAGATATTATATGCACTATAGATGGGACAGAAGATCTAAAGATATTAAATGCACTATGGATGGACAGAAGATCTAAAGATATTAATTTCACTGGATGGGACAGAAGATCTAAAGATATTAATTTCACTAGATGGGACAGAAGATCTAAAGATATTAAATGCACTATGGATGGACCGAAGATCTAAAGATATTAATTGCACTTGATGGGACAGAAGATCTAAAGATATTAATTTCACTAGATGGGACAGAAGATCTAAAGATGTTAAATGCACTATGGATGGACAGAAGATCTAAAGATATTAATTGCACTTGATGGGAAAGAAGATCTAAAGATATTAATTTCACTAGATGGGACAGAAGATCTAAAGATATTAAATGCACTATGGATGGACAGTACATCTAAAGATATTAATTTCACTGAATGGGACAGAAGATCTAAAGATATTAATTTCACTAGATGGGACAGAAGATCTAAAGATATTAAATGCACTATGGATGGACAGAAGACCTAAAGATATTAATTTCACTGGATGGGACAGAAGATCTAAAGATATTAATTTCACTAGATGGGACAGAAGATCTAAAGATATTAATTTCACTAGATGGGACAGAAGATCTAAAGATATTAATTTCACTAGATGGGACAAAAGATCTTTTTTTTACAATTTATTTTAGAATCAAAATTTTTTAATCTTAATCTTAATTTTGTGGTATTACAGTCCGGAAAAAAATGTAGTTTTCAAAATCAAATAATTTTATTTTATATTCTTGAAATTCATAATTCATATACTCGATTCAAGATGCAGCGTACCGTACTGCAATGTAGATTTTGTTCTCCTAGTCCTATCTATCTATACATAACTGGTGTACCGTACTGCAATGTAGATTTTGTTCTCCTAGTCCTATCTATCTATACATAACTGGTGTACCGTACTGCAATGTAGATTTTGTTCTCCTAGTCCTATCTATCTATATATGCATAACTGGTGTCAACAAGTCTTATATTTGAAATACACTTGAAGTACAGTTATTAGTTTGAAAGAGTGCTTTTTAATCTTGAATTGACATTAGCTATTGTATCCCCTCTCATAAGATCTACTTTTGATTATCCTGTATCCTGTATCCTGTATCCTGTATTACGTATCCTATAGTGTCTTTTATCCTGTTTCTTGTATCCTGTATCCTGCATCCTGTTTCCTGTTTCCTGTATCCTGTATTTTTGTATCTTGTGTCCTGTTTCCTGTTTCCTGTATTATATATCTTGCTTCCAATATCCTGTATCTTGTATTTTATATCTTGCATCCTGTTTCCTGTTTCCTGTATTTTATATCTTACATCCTGGTTTCCTGTATTTTAAATTTTGCATCCTGTTTCCTGTTTCCTGTATTTTGTATTTTACAACCTGTTTCCTGTTTCCTGTATTTTAAATTTTGCATCCTGTTTCCTGTTTCCTGTATATTATATCTTGCATCCTGTTTCCTGTATTTTATATCTTGCATCTTGTTTCTTGTTTTCTGTATTCTGTATTTGATATCTTGCATACTGTTTCCTGTTTCCTGTATCCTGCATCCTGTTATATCTTGCATCCTGTATTCTATATCCTATGTTCTGTATCCTATATCCTACACCCTACGTTCTGTATCCTCTATCCTATATCCTTTGTTCTGTATCCTGTATCCTGAATTCTGTATCCTATATCCTGTATCCATATCCTGTATCCTATATCCTGTATTTTATATCCTGTATCCTATATACTGTATCCTAGATCCCATATCATATGTTATGTAGCCCATATCCTGTATCTTATATCCTATATCCTATGTTCTGTATTTTGTATCCTGTATCCTATGTTCTGTAGCCTATAACCTATGTTCTAGCTGTATCCTATATCCTATGTTCTGTATTTTGTATCCTGTATCCTATGTTCTGTAGCCTATAACCTATGTTCTAGCTGTATCCTATATCCTATGTTCTGTATCCTATATCCTATATCCTATGTATCCTGTATCCCAGCTGTTGTGTCCACTGTGTTGTTGAGTTAAGGTTGTTGGTGTTGAGAAAAGCTGCCTGAAAGCAGAGCTCTCTACCAGGCAACTAGACAGCCTAGATAACCTTGATAGTTGCAGTAACAAGCCGAAACCAGGTCCACAATACAAACATCTTTCAACCATTGAAAAAAATGAAAAGGAAAAACATGAGAATGATCAAAGTTTCTGGTTAAAATTATATAGAAGCTTAGTCTGACATCGAACCCCCCAACCCCCTTCCCCCGTTGCACCTCTGATTCCACACACTTAATATGGCCTATTTTTTTCATTACGAAAATCTGTTTAAAACTATGAATAGAGCATTTACTTGAGTATGCTATTTCTACATTGCCTATTTTTATAACTTTATGATTGAGTATATTTTGTATTTCTTAAAGAAACTGTCTCACATAATTGTTAGTTTTAAAGTATGGAGCCTCATTATGTTTCTTTCTTCGGCTTAAAATCATTAGAGATTTGACTCAATGTCTCATTTGCTTGCAGAAAAAATAAAACCAATGAAAAATTAAACCCCCATCGGATCCCATGATAAACTCGAGGGGCCCAAGGATATGTGATTGGAATTATAAGAGGATTTTAATTTTTCTGAGAGTAAATTACTTTTATTTATAAAAAGCTGGTTTCAAGTTTTAACATTGACCTTCATAAATAAGTTTGTAGATTAGCGGGTTTCAATGAAAATTATTGCATACCTAGAAACAGCTTTTTATAATTGAATGAACATTTGTCTTTTTTGTTTTAAACATTCCATGGAGGCTCAATAAGAATCTCTTGGTTGCTTATCAGGGATCAGAACGTTGCTTTTCTTACATTTAGCAACGTATTCCGGTGCTTAGCTTTATATGATGGAGTTTGCCCAATTTGGTTTTTTCACAACGAGAAAATCAAATTTGAATAAAAAATTGAGGGAATAAGAAAAGATGTTGAAATATGTTTGTATTCTGGTCCAGTGCTTAGCTGTGATATATTGAGTGAAGATTGTGCTTCGTCGACATCTCCACTCCAGGTTTTGTATGCATATTATATATATATATACACATATTATTATTATCTATGTATATAATAAATATCTTTTTTATTGTTTTTATTTATCAATTAAGGGGCGCGAATATGTAGGTGTAACCCACCCCCCCCAGCATGTGTTATGTGGTTTTTAATTATTGATTCAGTGCAGAGGCGCAAACAAATAATCAATGTATCTTATGGCCAACATAATGTTTATGATTTAAAATGTTCCAAATCTCAGAGATTTAATAAAAAGGTGTTAATTCTACATTCTAAAAAAATATAGATCACTCCGGGTTGACCCTCTCAATTTCTATTTTCTAGCGATATATAAACCATTAAACTCAAAGTACAAAACAGTTTTTTAAAAACAAAAGAAAATAAACAAAAAAAACTTTAAATGTTTCTCTATACTCGTCACATTCTATATTGTTTCTTTTACTAATGTTTCGAATATCATAAGTTCAAGACATAATGATAAAGTTTTAATCTGTTATTGTAGATATTAATATCAATTCTGTTCAGGTATTAATCTCCAACGACCATGAATTTGCCATTATGAAATTTAAATGTCTCTTTTTGAGTTCCTTAAAGAAATAAAATGTATGAGTTGAAATAATTGCAATGAGTTTGTTTAACAGCTGTCTAAATTAACTGAGGTTTTATTATCCTGCAATCTACGATGTTCTAATCCCATATATCTTTGCAACCCGACGCAGTAGACCTTTGATATTTGAAATAATAATGAATTCTGTTAAACGAATCAAATAAGTCTAAAATAAAACAGGTTTGCAATCATACAGGGTTACCCACACAGGGTAAAGACGACTTAAAACTTCCCAAAGTTAAGTTAAGTCTTCTGGCTTGGATAAAGCCTTGAAATGGCTGATTAAATTATTTGGCAAAGAAGACAGTTTAAATTTCGTACGGTCGTCTCTGAAGTCTCATCATTTGTGGGTAATTATAAGTAAGTGGATTAGAACATTTGAGTTTATGGCAAAAACAGGGGCCTTGTGGATTTAAAAGAAGATTAATGAATCGAGACTACTTTCTCAAATTTCACTTTAAAATATTTTCAAATCTCTATTTTGTTTTGTAACAGGAGAAGGACCCTGCAGCTTTAAGGTTGGAAGGGAAGGGTGATACGGAGAACATGAACACCAGGGACAAGGACAGGGAGAAGAAGAAGGGAAAGGAGAACCATTGCAGTGTAGCAGAGATCCCTACAGCAGGGACTACTACAGGTATACTGCAGTGCAGCAGGGACTACTACAGGTATACTGCAGTGCAGCAGGGACTACTACAGGGACTGCTACAGGTATACTGCAGTGTAGGTTGGACTACTACAGGTATACTGCAGTGCAGCAGGGACTACTATAGGTATACTTCAGTGTAGCAAAGACTCTACAGCAGGGGCTACTACAGGTATACTGCAGTGCAGCAGGGACCACTACAGGTATACCGCAGAATAGCATAGATACCTACAGCAGGGACTGCTACAGGTATACTGCAGTGTAGGTTGGACTACTACAGGTATACTGAAGGGTAGCAGGGAATACTTCAGGTATACTGCAGTGTAGCAGGATCTATTACAGGTATACTGCAGTGCAGCAGGGACCAATACAGGTGTATTGCAGTGTAGCAGATACCTACAGCACGGACTACTATAGGTATACTGCAGTGTAGCAGGGACTACTACAGGTATACTGCAGTGCAGCAGGGACCACTACAGGTATACTGCAGTGTAGCAGAGATACCTACAGCACTGACTACTACAGGTATACTGCAGTACAGCTGGGACTACTACAGATATACTGCAGTGTAGCAGGGACTACTACAGGTATACTGCAGTGCAGCAGGGACCACTACAGGTATACTGCAGTGTAGCAGAGATACCTACAGCACTGACTACTACAGGTATACTGCAGTACAGCAGGGACCACTACAGGTATACTGCAGTGTAGAAGAGATACCTACAGCAGGGACTACTATAGGTGTACTGCAGTGTAGTAGGGACTACTACAGGTATAATGCAGTGTAGCAGAGATACCTAAAGTAGGGACTACTATAGGTATACTGCAGTGTAGCAGGGACTACTACAGGTATAATGCAGTGTAGCGGGAACTACTACACCAGAGACTACTACAGGTTTACTGCAGTGCAGCAGGGACTACAACAAGTATAATGCAGTGTAGGAGAGCTCTAGATCTTATAAGAGCTTGCTACTTCTGGGAATTAATTAATATTTAAGAACCTACGGTTTCTGTAATCCAACTCCTTCTTTAAAAAGAACTAAAATATATTTTTGTGAATACTAATTGGATTTGTTTTGAAGAGGGATAAAACAACTATCCCTGTAGTGAGACTAGTGATGTAAATTTATTTCAAGATAAAACAAAAACCTTTCTGTAAAACTATTTTGCACTTAAGCAATCATACTCTGAAAAAAACATGACATTAAAGGAATTTGAAGAAAATGAAATTAAAACTAACTTTTTAAATTTCTTCTTTTATGCATATTTAGAAATAACCACATTGCATCAAGACAAAACATTTCATGAATTCAGAGTTGAAAACTTTAGAATGGGATATACTTAATCCCGATCTGTTAATTAATCTGGAGATTAATATCATGAGGAGAACAAGCAACATTTAATCTGGATTTCTAAAGTTTTCAGCTCAACTCAAACAATATTATTTTGGCACGACGTGTTATAAAGTTTTGGACAGACATTTTCTCGATAAAGAGAAAGTTTCTGTAACAAAACTTTAAAGCACTGCAAACCACATATTCTATATATTTGTCTGTTTGTTTGTAACCAATGAACGTCAAAAAACGGCTGAACCTATCATGTTCAAAATTTGTGCGGGACCTCACATGACCCCAGGAAAAGTTTATGTAGCATCAGATTTAGAAGAAGAAAAAAATCTTGGAAAATACGCCAATTTCAGTTAAAATCTTAAATTATTTACAAAAAAAAGAAGCTAAAAGCGTAGTATTGTATAAGTAGCATGTATAATTTAATGATTTTTTCAGGAGCAACTTCAGCTGTGGCTGTCACAGTAAAAGATAGACATGAGAATGAACACAAAGTAGCAGGTGAATTATAATCTATAAAAATAGATATAATATATTATATTCTCTTAAGTCTTCTTTTTAAATTATCAAGCATTGAATACTTTGTGAGATTGAGTATTTTTAAAGTGTTTTCTCCGAATAAATATATATTGATGGACAAAACATTGTTTTTGCCAATTGATCAATTGTTTCATCCAAATATTTCAATATTTCATCATTTAAAAAATTAGCTAAATAAAATTTAAAATATACACAGTGGTCAGCGATTTTATAAATATAATGAAGACGACTTTTTTAATAATGCTTTGTTTAACGCATTGTTCAAATTACAGGTTCCCTTTTTAAAATGTTAAAGAGTTTCTGCTCTTGGCAGAAATCAAAATAGAGAACTAGAAATAGAAAATCGTCTTTATTGTATTGACAATACGACGACGACCGTAAATTTTCAGAGGAATTAGTAGTGCCTGTAAGTAACGGATGTATTACAGAGAAGACGACCTTATCTCCTAAACCTCCGCAGATTATCAACTCACCTCCTGCATTCCATTTAGATACAAACCTCAACTAGTGAGTTAAGATTTATCAAGGGAATTTCAGAATAGGGAGGGGGATTGATTAGGAGGGGTAGGGGGCAATAAGTTGTTAGAAAATTGCATCTTAAAGTGTCTCAAGATTTAAGTTAATTTAGCGTTTGCCTAAATTTAAAATTAAAAGTATTAAAATTTATTTTTACCAAAATTTACATCGAAACAATTTTTTTCATAAATTTGTTTTAAAAAAGTTGTTTTATTTTTATTAGTTCCAATGCCTTGGATGTTCCATTTGTGCATGGAGTAAACGATGCACCAGTTATTATATTAACGTAGGTATTTTTACCCTGGCTCTTGTGGAAGAGTAATCCTTTGTTTTTTTCAATCCTTTATATCAAAGTGTGTACCACTAAGCATGAAAATATAGAGAAGGAAAAGTCGTCTTTTTGAGATATTTTGAGACATTAGTCTAACCAATCATAAATTGTTCCAAGCCCTCTCTACGCCTTTCCAGAATGTGTCTTGTTTTGATTTAAACAAGACTTCAGAAGTTCAGTAGAGCTGCTGGGTTTAGTCCCTGCAGGCACTTTGATTGAAAGGTCTCATGCTCCTCCAGCAAAAATATATGAGAATTTTGCCAATTACTTCTTAAAAACCAAAGCTACCATCAAGTGCTTTACAAAGTGCTAAAATGTAAAGAGCTCAGAAAATCGTGTGTTAGTTAGAGCGGTAAAATCTAAGCCCAAGGCGTTGCGACACTTCAAAGTCGACCCTGTCTTAAAAACTGATGAGACTGCACATAATCCAGACTGGACAAACACCAGGCTCGAATATATTTAGAAGACGACATTCTATTAGTCCAGTGAAGCCAACAGGATACATATTTGTATCTTCGCGCCCATCTTCTATTTTAATTGTGAACATGTTTTCTTCGTGTACATTGTAAAACAAAACAAAAAAGTTCGCGGATTTAAACAAAAAGTTTCGTGGATTTTCAAAATTTTAAAAAATTTAATGAAAATCGAATTTTGATGGAGGCAAATTTTTTTAAATTTTGTTCATTCATAAACCTTCCCTAGGGCCATGTGAGGTCCCACACAAAAGTTGGGTCCAATCGGCTCAACCGTATTGACAGTTATTGGATACAAACAGTAAGATAAAATTATTATTTTTTATTTATTAGAATCAATAAAATCTATAATTTATTTAATGTTTCCATTATGATTGGTAAGGAAATTGTGATATTAAAAATCTTCAGTACAACAAAAACTACTTAATGTGTATATTTGGCCTTTTTTGTTTTCATATTATCTAATATATATAATATAGGAACTCTTCAGTTCAAAAATCTAAGGGCATTTAAATTGTTATAATTTATAAACTATAACTAAATTTTGTTCTCAAATATTTGTTATTTATTTATATTCTCTGAATCAATTATTTTTATTTTCTTAAAAGTGGCTCTTAATAAAAATGGTTTCCCCACCTCGAATAATTTAACTTTAATGCTTTCCCCACCTCGCAGGAATAATAAAGAAAATCAATGTTTAAATGTCGTCGTCATATATTTCTGATATTCTCTCGGCCAAGTGTTTGTTCTGTCTGGATGATGTGACTGCTAATAATCAGTCTGAATCTATGTGAAAGGGGTAAATTTGTTTTATAATTTTCCTTTTTATTTCTAACCAAATTGTCAAATGTTCACCATTTTTCATATTTTCTGAAATAGCTATAGTAGGTCGTGCAGTTTACTTTATTAAAACTTTGTTAATAATAGCAATAGCAATAGCGATCTGCAAGTCGTACTTCTTATTAGCATGTTTATAGCGGTACATATACATACTTTTTGTAAATAGTAATATCCTTTGGTAATCACTAACAAGTGATCTGTTCTACCCTATATATACGAGTTGTGATCAATAAGTTTCACAAAAAAAATAGGGGTAATTTTATTGTAGAAATCTCAGCTCTATAATTTTTTTGGAAAGTTCACTAGCTATATATAAACCTTTTTTTTGTAAAGAGCGTTCTTCCGAACGTATATCAGCTCCGTTCGACACAGCAAGAACATTTTCCAAACATGGTCTCAAATTTAATTCATCAGAGTCTGTTTTAGACCCTTTAAGAGCAATCAAAAGAAAAAGTTTTGTATGTATGAAAGACTTTTGAGGAATTTTCTGGTTTTGATTTTAATTTTAAATCCATAATTACTGTCATCCCTTTGGTTATATATGTCAGAGACTTCGGGACAAAGGAATTGAGTCTTTGGAACAAAATCAAATATTTAAACCGTAATATCTTCAGAACTTGATGTTGTAAACCTTTGATATTCTAAACTCAGATTACTTGATCTAACAGAATTCATAGTTTGAAATATCTAAGGTATGCAACATTTGGTTCCAAAGATATAGTGATTAGAAAATCAGAGTTTGTGGCAAAGACTCAATTCCTTTAACCCAGATCTTTGTCGTTCTCAAATCTTGCTTTACAACTTTGTTTACAATGTATAAGCATACATTATGCTGTTTGGCAAACATACTTTTTGAATCCTCGCTAATATGGTTTCTACAATTTTCCAATAAACCACCTTACAAGTTCTTAAAAACGTTTTAAATTGCGTTCCGGATCATGTTTCAGGGTTCTGCTTGGTTTTATCATCGTTTAATAAATTTTCTTTGGATAATTGAGCCATCAAAGTGTCCTCTTTCTCTGCTTGACTCCAACCATGGCCAAAATTGTATCCGGTATATATATCCGGTATATATAGAAATAGTTAACTTAACAAAATAATTTAGAGCTGAGACTTTAAGAAGTACCCCTAAATAAATGTTAGCGATCACACCTCGTATAACAGTGTTTTCAATTTATAAACGAATATTTTAAAATCAAAATCTTTAACAAACATTAAGTTAAATAATCAAAGATAGAAACGATTACAGTGAGTTGTTCGTTAACAACGAACGACTACGTCCCACGAAACATGACAGATGGTGAATAGTTTTGAATGTCTTCTTCCATAAGTTGTTTAATACCAAAGACAATTATTTAAAATATTACATGACAGTCATATTATTGTAAAATTAACTTCAAAGTAAAATATATTTGAGCAAAAGATTTTTGAAACGAAATAAACTGCAAACAGCCTTTAATATCTAATAGAGTTTATTGAAGACGACATTCAAAACTATTTACCAACAGTCATGTTTCGTGGGACACCATGTATCTAACTGTTAACAAACTAATCCCCCCCCCTGTTGGAATCCTTTATAGTAACAACTTGAATATGGGGGGGGCGATTTGGCACCATACCCCCCTCCCCTTGCTTTCGCCCCATGGTTCATGGGACACACTTCAGATCATTTCCAATATTTTGAAAATGAATGTAAATTTTTTTTTATCGTTGCATATACAATAATAGATCGATTATTCAATAATCTTTAATCTATGCAAGTCAATGACAAGTTAAAAGTAAGATTTTTTACGTTTAGTCTTGGTAAATACTAAATAGATAACAATTTGACTAATTCCATTCATGAACCCTTGTTTAGTTTAAAATAAAATATAAACAGAAACTCCCTTTTATTACCCAACTTTTCCTTTAATACCATTCAGAAATGGTTAACATTTAAAATTATTAAATTGAAATTATCTTTAAAAATAAAATATATATTTTTATTGTCACAAAGATACTTTTTTGAACCATATAATCTTTAAACTCCACGAGCAAATCTTTTAATCCAATATAAATCTCCAAAAATGTGTTTGAAAAATTAAATCTTAAAAGAATTAAAAGAATTAAAAAAAATATTATCTAAAAGTTATTCTTTAGAATGTTTAAAATTTAAAGTCATTGAAACCGGTTTTTTTGTTCATAAATAAAAAAACAAATTTCTGTTTGTTGTTTCGTTTAGGTAAATTCAATAAAATATTGATTTTCTAGTGGATGCAGTCCTTTACCTAGCGCCTGTCCTGAATTAAACAGTCTTCAACCTCCTAAACTTCTTAATCCACAGCAACAGATGAACAACATCAACATCAACAACAACAGCAACAACAATGGCAATCTTACCGCTTCAAGCTCAGTCAAAACACTTCAAGTGCTTTAATATAGAATTCATACTGAGTTGTGAGTACAAAATAACCTGGAAAATTGAAATTAAGTTTTATGTTATTCTTAAAGGGAATGTTCTGTAATTTTGTTAATTATTTTAAAGGTCTTCCCGCATTTTCGTTATTTGTCTTCATTACATTGTATTAGGTTTTTTTAATAATCGAAATATTTGATACTTTCTGGCTTTTTTTCAATGAAAATGGATTTGTATAATTTCATTTCTTATTTTTCATACTCCGAGGGTAGACAACAAAATTTAGGTCTCAGAAACTATCTTTTCCCATAAAAGTTGTTTGATTAGAGTGTTTATAATTTTTTTTTCCAGCAAAAAATTTACCTTTTTAATATTTCATGCTTGAAGACTTTCAAAAATGTATTAAATTATCTTTTGGACGATTTTGACACCTTTCTAATTTTTGCAATCCATTCATTTCAACTTGTTTTTCTGCAATCAAATTTTTGGTGATGTTTTGGTTTACTTTATTGAAAAATAAATCATTGCTATTTAAGAATATCAAATTATTGTAAATGTAATTAAATGTAAATCGAATTTTAAAGGTTTGAAAAGCTTGATTTCTTTTTTCTGCCATACATGAAATATTTTCAACTGAGTATGAATCTGTTGCTAAACCACTAAAGAACAAAACCCAAGCTTGTATTTTTCCAAACAACTCCTAAACCCATAAATTCTTTGGTATTTGCAAACTATTGCCAAGATTAGTTATATTTATGTTCATAAACTTTGAATGATTTGTTATATTCATTCTGCAGACATTTAACCCTTTTGTTTGTTTAACTTTTGCCACGTGACTGCAGGAAGGACTAGTTTGAAACCTTGTACAAGGTCAGGAACTGGCATTGAGTGTCAGTTTCGGGCCGGCCAAATTCTAATTTCAAACTATTGCCCCTGCCTAAGTTAGAGCATTTTGATATGCATCATTAGACCAACATTATTCTACATATTGTAGTTTTTTCAATTTTTATTTTAAATCAAACAATTTTTCAACAGTAATTTCCGGTTAAACAATATTTTCCACTATTATTTTTTAACGATGAACAAGCTGCAGACATGGTTTTTTAGTATCCAGTGAAATGCGCCAAATGCAGAACGTATTGCGACAATTTGTAAACAATTGCGCTTCACGTGGATTAGAAGGAGTTTATAATTGGATTGCATTGCTCAACACAGCATTTACGAACTATATTTTGAGCTTGTTCTAAACAAAATGGCCACCATAATAATCTACTTATATATTTAAAAATATTATGGATAAATTGTCAGTCATGCCGTACCAAATATTGACAGCTTCTGTTTAACCAATGTATGATTTTTTAAAATAACTTACTTACTTACTGTAATATTTATTATTTAATCCCTATAACCCTGTTCCACCCACTTTCCATAAAGAAAAATGTGTTAACCTACTGGTTAACAATTTTGAGAATTCTTACAGATAGCAATGGGCATCATTTTGAGGTTCATTCTTATATCCATTTGTAGGCTCTTGACTTTAAAATGTGCACCTCAAGAATCTGAGTTACATTTCAGAATTGTAGAATCGTTAAGTTTTCTTTTATTACATTTATAACTCCAAAATTTTATACTTGCCGCGTTAAATTACAAGAAGAGTGAGATTAGTATATATTTTAGGGTTAGGCTGGTTTAACACCCTTTCTGGGCCGAGCGCTTCGGCTAGGGGGCAGAGCGTTACGGCTAAATGGACGAGCGCCGCGGCTAGAACAGGAGCTCTCTCTCTGTCTTATAATTCATTGCGGCATGCGCACTAAACTTCCTTGGGCGTCTGCCAATATGTTTGGTCAGAGTAAACATATTTTGTATCAAGGATGTAATGCAAGGAAAGTTAATTGCGGTTGTGTATACTCTGCGTACATATTGAAACCAGTTCTCTTTGGGCGGAATTTGTAAACAAGAATAGATGCATCAGTGTTCGTTTAGTATCCGAGGAGGCTATAAGCATTAAATTTTGATAATTCACATAATAGCTTCCTATGAACAGAATATTTCATTGATTTTTTTATGTGAAAGATGGATCCCATGTCAGGCTGTAACATCCGTCTTGTGTTTACATTACCGCCCAGAGACAGTAAACTGCAGTACAAAAGATGCGTACACTTCTGAAATATAACTTTCCTTGCATTACATCCTTGTTTTGTATGAAGTTAAGAACACAAAATTTTCAAGCATGCAAATTTGAAATAGAATAATAATCTAAAATTCTTGAAGAGCCTTTGATTTTCAGATGGTTTGGGTTTAAATTATATGAATTATTTCAAGGCAACAACACGGCATTCTTCTCGTATTATATCACCAAGGGGGTACAGCTGTTGGTAGTGGGGGGATTAGATTACAGAGGTTAAGGGAAAGTTTTCATGTTTAGTGTGACACCCTGTATCATGTTCTCATTAAAAATGTTTGCATAATATTTAAGTTCTCCAATATAAATTCATAAGCAACTTTTTTTGCTAAGCTATTCCGGTTCAAAGAGCCACTTTAATTAGCTCTTGTACCCCCTCCCCCAATCAACCACATACAGGGTGTTTCACGAAACATGACAGTTTGTGAATAGTTTTGAATGTCTTCTTCCACATACTATATTATATATTTTTTTGTAGTTTGTTACTTCAAACATGTTTTATAAAAAATGTTATTAGTCTCTTTAGTATCAAAAAGTTTATCAAATAATGGAAGAAGACATTTTAAACAATTCACCAAGTATCATGTTTCGTGGGACACCCTCTATCCTTTGCAAAATCATGAAATTTGTATACATAATTGTATAAAGCTTACCTTACCTGTTTCTGAATAAAAATATTCCGTTTCTTAAAAAATTATTTTTCTAGAGTTTAATCAAGTTGTAAGAATTGTGAATGCTTAGTAACACTAATGTTTACTCTACGCTATACTATTAGTGGAAACCAGAACACTCTAGTATAAGTAGGCGACATTAAAGCAATGATTTACGATGTTAATACATCCGTCCTACGATACTTTCGGACCTACCCCCACGTGGTTTTTCATGGCAGCTTCTAGAATGTGGTCTGTCTTTTTAAAAATAAATAATAAAAAATAAAATATTTAATAACAATTTTGGTATTAATAAAACTGCCTAACCCCATCCGTAAAACCCAGGTTCCCAAAGTCAAGTTATTGGCTCTAGTTTAAGGGTAGTCACTATAAGTCTTGTCCCAAACCTTAAAAAACTTGCAAATAATCTTATCCCTTATGGGCGACCCTTAACCACTACATGGGAGATACAAGGTGTCCCACGAAACATGACAATTGGTAGATAGTTTTGTATGTCGTCTTCCATATACTGTTTTAAATATTAAAGGTTTTCAGCAGTTTATTTTGTTAAAAAAATCTTTTGCTTATAATATTTTTCTTATTGTCTTAGGTATCAAACATCATAACAAATAATGGAAGAAGACATTCTACTATTCGCAAATTGGCATGTTTCGTGGGACACCCTGTATTTAATCTTATATTAACCTTAAAAATGTTTTTTTTTACTTTATCACATCAAACTTTCTCGTGGCGATTACTTACATTATTCAATTTTTGAATCTTTAATTTATAAAAGACACTTAAATAATAAATAAGAAAACGAGTTAATTTTTACATACAACCTTCTGCTCGATTATGTCGGTTTATTACATTTAACAGTTTAATTGGTAAATAAGTAAATTCACTAGATATAACTAAAATAATAGAACACTCATTTTTACATGGGATTGGAATAAGCCCAGAAAAAATACTTTCTCAATTTAACTTTTAAATGAAAAAACTTTTGAATTGCTTCATTGTATCCCAAAATGTGAGTAGCTAGCTAATTAATAAAAAAACTAAACCAAGTTACGAGTATCATTATTTGGACAATTAAAACAAGGTTGACAATAACAAAATTAGTTCTTAAATAACATTTCTGGTAAATATCAAACATAATTCACAATTCCGACAGAAAAATATAAAAAACTGAGCAAATGAAGAGAAATCAAGTTTTCAAGAAAATATAAGAGCTCACGAATTCAAAAATGACTAAAAAAGGCGTAATATTGCTAGAAAAATATGCACTTTACTGTATATAGGAAACTATATGATAAGATTTTTCCTAATATTGATAAAACCAAGGTTATAATGCAAGGAAAGTTATTTCAGAAGTTTACGCATCTTTTGTACTGCAGTGTACTGTCTCTGGGCGGTAAGGTAAACACAAGACGGGTGTCGAAGCCTGACATGGGATCCACTTTCACATAAGAAATCAATGAAATAATCCGGTCATAGGAAACTAATATGTGAGTTATCAAAATTATCAAAATTAATGCTTTTAGCCTCCTCGGATACTAAACGAAAAATGATGCATCTTTTCTTGTTTACAAATTCCGCCCAGAGAGAACTGGTTTCCATATGAACGCAGTATATACGCAACTGCAATTAATTTTCCTTGCCAACCTTGGATTACACTAAATAATACAGAGCTGAAGTGTTGTTCTAGTAAATCATTATCATAATCTGATCTGAAGAGAACATTAAATAATTATAAAATTAATTTGATTGGTGTTAGGCTAACGATGGTAAAATGTTGATTAATGAACGAGATTAAATTCAAATATTTAAATGATTTTATAAATTTCACGACCCCCAGTCAATATTATGGTTCTTAGGATTCATTAGAATTAACAATTCATAATTTGGTAAAATACGACTATTTTGGATCATTTTTATGACTAGTCGAGTGTAAGGATAAAATTGAGCTAGAAATTTTGGACAAAAAATGTTTCAGATTTTTTCAGTTTTTGTCTAGACCTTTTAATATCAGATGAATTAAAACAGGAATTATTCCTTTAAATAGCAATGCGCAGATGTGCAGAAATGCCGCAATTAATTGTTGGGTGTTAGAACACGGATTTTATGTTATTATGCGCACCGAGCGCCATACATTCGCTTCAGATCTTTGGAATAGAAGTCTTGGATTGGTTTCCTTTTGAGTTTAAATGCTGCGGTAACTAAACCCGACTCAGGAGTCCATAAATCCTAAACAAAGCAAAACTAGAATAAGTTAAAATCTTAGGAGTACAGTCTTTGAGATACCAACAAAGCTGATAGAGACAGTAAATTCGACATGAAACTTAGAAATATGACTGTATTTTTTGAAGCTTCTCATTACCCCCCCCCCCCCCACGAGTGCTACTTTCAAATTTAATAAATTAAATATATCTTGTCTTTTGATGTCCAATTTCGCACTTTCCCCCGACCCCCAATTCATCGAAAATTATTATTTTAAAACTATACAACCCTTGTTCTCATTCCTTGTACCTGACAAAGCGTGACAGCCCCTGGCATCTCCCATTTCTCTAGTCCTACACGTTTCCCATGGGACTGAAGTTCGCGTAGCACTGCTCCGATCATCGTTACGTTCTCGCACAAGGCCTCAAACTCGACATTCTAAACAAGATTGATATTCTATTTTGGCAGTGACAAGATTTATATTCTATTTTGACAATATCCACTTTTTAGAGATATTGAAATTAAAAACGACAAGAGGGCAAAAAGGAACAAAAATAGGGTGAAAGAAAAGCAAACTGAAGAAAATTACAATTTTAATCTGCTAAGACTCAATTTATTTCATTTCGTATCTTCCTTTAAGAGTTTAGATCGAAGTTAGGAAAGATAATGGATTTATCTTCCCCACCACTATGGATTAGGGTCAATTTTAATTCGAACCAGACCGATCCCTTGTTCCGGCCTTAGTGACGCGCGGCAAGTACCGGCCCAACCCTATTCTATGCCGGTTCGGTTTCAACTTTAATGGCGCGGTCAAGACTTTTTACAGTACCCGGCCTATCATAGACCTATTTTATATAACCAACTAGCTTATTTTAGTGTAACACAGGGTTAAAATTATATTCTAGTTTGACCATGTCTCAATATAAAATTTTTTGGTTCTTCTAAATGAACGTTTAATGAATAATGTAATTTTATTAATAACCCAAAATTGACTAACAATAGTTGATTTTCCAAAATAATAAAAAAGATAATAGTTCCCCCATTATGATTCAAATATTGTAAACCTTTATTTCTAATTTTTCAGCCAGAGCTTCCAGGCGCAATCTGTCAGGTACAATCAGGGCAACCACATAACTCTAAATAATTTAACAAATAAACAAACAAACAAAATTAATTAACTGAATGGACTGTGGATGAAGTTTAAAGTGACCCTACATCTTTTGTGCGGCATGTCTAGTTCACAAAAATTGAAAGTGTTGATTCTGAATATTTCTTTCCATCATCGCACAGTGGTGCAGAGCACGAGAAAAATTAGCTAAACTATTTACGCATTTTTAATATGCAAGTTGCAAATGTAATTTGGGTTTTATGGGGCAAGGATGTCAAACCAGATCTCAAATTTTAGAAATGTGCATGAATTTAGTATGCGCACGTGCGCGTTTAAAAAAAAACACATCAAAAGAGCATCATGCATATCAAATTATATGTCAAGGAACGCAAATCTGAAGTTCAAACATCCGTTTCTGTGTGCGTTGCGTGCGCGCGCGTTAGAATTTCCATTTTTAACAATAAAAGCGTGTATACATCAAAATATACGTTTTTTGGGTAAATAAATTCACTTATGAAGCTGAGATGGTTGTGTTTGAATGCGTTTGGCAAAAATTAATAGTTTTTTATAGCTAAATTCTCCTGCTAATTTCAAAGTCATTAAAAACTTCTCTTATCCAAACATTGAAGGAAAAGTGTTATAAGTCCTCTCATCATACACATAAAAGGAATATTTATTTGTAGGTTGATAACTACAATCAGCGGAGCAAGTAGGTGCAACAAATCTTTAATCTAACCATTTTACGATACCAACATCATATTGTGCCATAAGTCTGAGTTTTAGTTCAATGTATATCAAACTTCTTCAAAATAATCTTTGAATGGTCACATAGTAATGTACTTAATTCTAAAAATGTTGAATATAGTTTTCATGACTTTTTATCAACTAACATGTTTACCAAAAAATCTTTAAATTCTAACAAAAACTACAGGGGACATGACAAAAAGTAGGATGGGAAAAAGAAAAAATATTTTAATATTTAATGCATATTTTTGTCAATTAGGATGTTTAAAATCAAAATTAGGAAAAAAATGTGTAAGAGATATAAGTAAAAAAAGTAGGTTTTGTAAGTTGCTGTAAGTTGTGTATCGGCTGATGTGCTATAAATCCGCAAATCACTTTTAACCGAGAAACCGCAATTGAAAAAAATCCATAAATACTATGTAAAAAAAACTTTAAAATCATTCATTCTTGAAAATACAAGGATGGATATTCCGCTTTATAAATTGAGGGTGACTTGAAATTAATTCTAAGTAGTTTTTTTTGGTGCAATTAGAAGGAAAATGAGAATTTATTAATTATTATTAACTATCATGTCAATAATGAAATTAAAACAATACTATTCTCAATTATCAAAGATTTTTTCTCACATGAACGACAAGTTTTTCAAACACGTCTCTTAGTCCTCGCAACTTCTACATATACATTTCCTTGTCTGTCTGTATGTTTGTATAACCTATTGGCCGTAAACAACGTTTTGCCTCAAAGTAATTTAAATGTTTCAATGATTTTGATATCCGCCTTGGTAAACAGAAAAATCTGCAAAATTTGTTATAATGTTTATTCACAGTGTACAATAGACATGGAAACAGATCAATACAATAAAAATCAGATTATTTCCAGAAACCTAATTGTATTGTTATTAAGAATATTGTTATTAAAATACTAGAAAATACGAAGGGCTCTAACCTGAGAAGGATCTCCATACACACAACAGTTCTCAACTAAGGGACATGTTTTCAACTCTGATTCAACCTATCATCAGGAATATTAAAACATTAGATACCATTAGGAAAAAACTTCGGGGTTTGTATGTCAATCAATCAATCAATCCAATTGCGGTCTCGTATACTCTGCGTACATATTGAAACCAGTTCTCTCTGGGCGGACTTTGTAAACAAGAATAGATGCATCAGTGTTCGTTTAGTATCAGAGGAGGTTAAAAGCATTTAATTTTGACAATTTTGAAAATTAACATAATAGTTTCCTATGACCAGAATATTTCATAGAATATTTTTGTGGAAATGGATTCCATGTCAGGGTATGACATCCGTCTTGTGTTTACTTTTCCGCCCAAAGACAGTACACTGTAGTATAAAAAATGTATACACCTCTGAAATAACTTTCCTTGCATTAGTACCTTGAATCAATCAATCTTTCATTTGAATTACCTTGCCAAGTGAGATATATTCTCCGAACTGAAGTTTAACCAGGTCCTTTTTCCTGTCAATAATCCTCACAGTTCCATCATCATCTATCTGTCCAATATCTCCAGTTTTAAACCATCTTAATAAATAGAAATAAATCTGTCCAATATCTCCAGTTTTAAACCATTTTAATAAATAGAAATCTATCTGTCCAATATCTCCAGTTTTAAACCATCTTAATAAATTGAAATCTATCTGTCCCAATATCTCCAGTTTTAAACCATTCAAAAAAAATATGAAGTATGTAAAGAACAAAGTAGGAATAAAAGGATTTTCAACATTTGTCTTCATTGCAACTTTGAAAATAAGAAAAATACCATGAAATAGGTGCTTCTAGACTAAGTTGAGACAAATTTAGAACTAAAATTTAATAAGAGAATATAAAAGAGAATTTCTAATTATTGTCCCAATATTCTTCAGGATACATACAACATAACAAAATTTTAACGTAGACATTGGTAGACATTTTCATGTCCTTGTTTTTACTTTTTTTATTTTTTTTTTCAAATCTTTTTTCCTCTTCGAAAATGTTTCGGCAATTTTCTTAAGTTTTAAAAAGGATTTGCGGCATTCTCTTGCGCTTTCTTACCTCATGCCGGTACTGTCCGTGTAGAAATCTTCCGCGGTCTTTTCTGGCATCTTGTAATATCCTAGAAGATGGTTTCCTTGACATTTTTATTATTTCTTTAAAGGATTTCATAAGGTAAAACTTGAATTCTAACATACGTGCTGAGTCCTAACTTTGATAAAAAAGTAAAGATCCTTGTGCTAGCCAGTTCTTGCAAAGTTTTTTCTGTGCAAAACAAAAAATACAATTTTACCTATTGCCACATTTCCTCCACCGATTACAATTTCGCCTCGTGGTTGAGAATCTGTCACCCTGTATCCTCCTTCCTCCCAGTTTATCAGTTTTATTTGGACACCCTGTAGAGGGGGACCAACTCCTCCTAAAAATAAGAAATAAGAAATAAATAAAATTTGTCTCTAGTTGAGTATTAAAGAGAAAAAATAAGATAAAAGTTGTTGGAGGAAATATCAGTTTTTTACATTTGTATTTGCCATTTAAAAATAATTATCAAAGTTCATAATTATTATATTATTGTATTGTACAAATCTATTTTTGGATCTCATGCTATAATGTTTATAGTAAAATTATCTTAAATTATTTTGAAAACCGTTTCAAAAAACATCGGAAAAGACATATGAAGAGTTTAAGAACGGGGTTGTGTCTTAACAACAAATTTTTTTCGCAGACTTTGGTTGATATTTTGTCTATTGGATCTAGATCCGTGGATCCTCGTTTCTTTGCGGTTCCAATGGACCTGGTTCCTAAGCACTGTTATTTAGCATATAACAGATGAAATCATGAAACATATTTTTTACTTTTTAATTAAGATAGTTTACAAACCAGTGGATATCTGTGTATCGTCCATAATACAGGCACAGGCACAGCTTTCGGTTAACCCATAGCCCTGAAGAAGAAGAAATTATACTTGCAGAGTGAAAATGTGGAAATCCACCTCTTATCTTTTTGGTACACTATATAATCAATCAACAAGGAGGCCAAAAATCGGCGCCAATTAATAAGAATCAACATTACAAATAAATCTTTAAATTTTTATTACTAAACGTTGTTAGTTCATCGTCGCAAAATACTAACAATCCACCAAGAGCTATGTTAAATTTAATGTAAATGATAAAAATGTAACTTTCCTTTTCTATTCCCTTTTTTTCTACTTTTACTTTTTTATTTTCTTTTTAGAATTGGGGGGGAAATATTCCCACAACCTCTATTTTTGGAGGTTTTATAAATGCATACTTACTTACTTACTGTGTCAGAAAATCAAACTATAGGAACCAGAAAAATGTGGAATTGAGTAATCTGCTTTTTAAACACTTTTTCAAGAAATGTTGCTACGGATACTGTTGCAACTAATATATCTCTAGAAATCTTGAGGGCCCTTCTTTAGAAAACGTAGCAAATAACAAAACCCTTAGCAACATTTAGTAATTGAAAGAAAACAGAAAACAAAGAGAATTTCACTGTTTTCTGGATCTCACTGTATAAACTTCAATTCTGCAATTTTTTGAGCTTTGCTATACAAATCAGAGGGCTGAAATCTACCATGAATCCAAGCTTTTTTTGTAGAACAGATTAAGAATTTAAAGATTACTAACCATCATAATAACATGAAACATTGGTTTTTTTTTCTGGATTTACGAATGTCAAAATGGAGGTCAGGTCAGTTGAGGAGGAAAGTTGAAAGAGGGACTAACCTGTACTAACGGAACTGAGAGACAAACTCGAATATATTCATGAGTTTCCTGGCTGAGTGGGGCTCCACCTAGATACAATTCATAATAATTAAATAAGATGTTGGGATTGATTACTTGTAAAGGAATTGTAGCGTAAAATGAGGTAAAAATAGAAAGTTCGATTAGCCTGAGTCTAAAACTAAAGAATGCGCGAATTATAAGTTCGAGGTTAAAAGTTCTGTAAAATAATGAATAGCTACTTAAATATTAAACTTTCTCAATTTTAAATTTGAATTTCCCGGAAAAATCTGAACCAATCAGAGAAAAGGATTTACGGAGAATATTACATAACCATCGCTAATCAGCTGTTCTTACGTAACCGAAAACAAAACATACAACAGTTTTTTGGGTTTACATCCAAAAATTAATTTATCTAAAACGTGAAATTTCTTTAACAAGGTTTTCACTTTTAAATATATCGTAAAGTTGAATGCCGCTTTCTCAGCTGCAGCTGAATGATGATTGAATAATAGACAAATAGGGAAGGAAAATGCAGGATTTCAAGATAATTTAAACCTCATGTCTAAATTTTAACTCGTCGATTTCGGCGAGTTAAATATTTAACCACAGGGTTAAATATTTAACCTCATGGAAGTTCAGGTTTAAATTAAGTCAGAAGTTGCATTTAACCATGAACTTAAAATTTAAGTCAGAACTTTTCGTTCTTTAGTTTTAGACTCTGGACAAAGAACGATAATTTTCAACTTTGGTTTCTCATATAGTTTTTGAGGACGTTCATTAAAAAATGTACAGCTGCTGAGTGAGTTTACCTGAAAGCATAACCCTGATCTTCCCACCAACTAGCGCGCGCACGTTTCTAAAGATGAAGAAATCAAGCAGAGGTGTCTTGAATCCTCTGCGCAAACATTTCAGTTTATATTTGTGTGCAAACTCGAAGAGCGCAGTGAAAAATGGACCTAATTTTAGGAGCATTTTAATTTAATTTCGGGTCAAGTCAAGTTCATAAAGGTCGTCTTCTACTTGGCAAATACTTAAACCTTTAGTAGTAGTTAATTAAATTTTGTCAAAGATTTTATTTCACATTATGAGCCGTTATTAAATAATTATGTAAATTTTAACCCACTGCACTGCTTAGATAATCACCCTCCCTATTCCTAAAAAATCTGATATCTTAGTACTGACTAGCTGAAGGGCCCGGCGTTGCCCGTGGAAAAAAAATTTGAAAAAAATAAAAAATGTTGGGGAAAAAATCAATTTTTTACCCTCTCACACTCCCCCGGCCACCCATGAGTGTCCACAAAAAATGTCAGTCCAATTGGTCCAGCCGTTTGTACGGCTATACGCAACATATATATACGAATGTCTTGTTTTATTACATAGATTTAAGCGTCAGTAAGAATACTTGACTTAATCTTGGCAGTTGTTAATTGATCAGAACTAAACTGATAAGAAGTCAGATGATAAATAATAATAGATGATAAATAATAAATATTACCTCCCCCCCCTTGCTTCACGAGGGGAGAGGGGGGGGGGTAATATAAACTTTTAAATGTTAACCCTTGTCAACAATTATAAAAAAAATAATGTAAAATGTTTATTCTCTGAAACTTACTGGAGCAAGTACTTTAAGTACAAAATTCTTATCTTCCAATAAAAAATCCACGAAAAATATCTTTGTTTTAAGGAATTTAAAAAGCAAATAATATTTCAGTGTTTGATTTTATAATCCTAATTTAAAGGCTCTGTTACGTCGGATCATTTAAAATTGCGATTAAAAATATCAAAATGGCTCCATTCCTTTTTTATTTATATTCTCCTGGATTCCCTTGAAGATTCTATCTAATATCAGCGGCACTGCGCACATCAGTGTTGGGTGCAGAACACTACAGTCTCCAGAACATCCAAGTATTGGGTATATTTAGTTTACCTATAGGGGCCCCCTGGACCATCATAGTATTGGGTATATTTAGTTTACCTATAGGGGCCCCCTGGACCATCATAGTATTCTCCGACAAGAGTTCAAGTATATGGGCCAACGGTAAATATCCTGCAGAAATAAAAAACACATTTAAATCTCTAAAAGTTAATAGTTCATTGTTGAAAAATACTAAAAATATAATAATAAATATCTAAATTTTCTTTCCAATTTCTTTTTTTAAATTGGGGGAAATATTCCCACAACCTCAAATATGGAGGTTTAAGCAAAAAAATTATTTTAAAATTTTGTTTTATTTTGTAAATAAATAATTACTTACTATGATATAAACTTGTTTCAAGTTTTAACTTTAATCAAGGGTCACACCAGTTTCAAAGATTTAGGAATTTAATTTTTTTTTAAAGGTAAGTAATCAGTTCCTTAGATTTCATATTTGGTGGATTCCAACAAGTCTAAATAGTTAATTTTACCTAGATAGATGTCTCCTGGTTTGACAGGGTTGACCACGAAGTGAAAGGCGCGCACTGTTGCTACGAGCGCGGAATGAGGGAGAACAACCCCCTTCGGTATTCCTAATTTTAAAAGTAATTCAAATATGTTTTAAAGTATTGTATATCAAGGAACCCAGAACTAATGTGTTACAGAAAAAATATCTTTATCAAAGAGACTGTACATTTAATTATATAAGTGACCCACGTTTATACAAAAAACCACGCCGGATACACAACGGTACCTCTTAATTCATCGTCTTACCAAATCGATGATTTCCTAGTGGCTAAATTAAGTAATTGATAATTCTATATATGTTTTCTCCATAATAGTAACTTGTAAATATTTACAGCGGAGACACAGAACATATTCTACCGAATTCAACACTATTTACATAACACCTAAACTCTAAAACACCTAAAATTCTTAACATCTAAATTTTAAAAGGCCAAAATGTCAAAACACACCCAACGTGTCAGAACATCTTATTTTCATAACACCCAAAGATAAAAAACACCAATATTTGATTTCACGGACAAAAAACACCTAAATTTCATTTGAAGTTAAATACATCCTTAAACTTAAAAAAGCTCATTTTGAAACATTTGACTACTTTTTTGTTAAAATGAAAAGTTTTTGTTTACCTTTACATGAAATTTATATATCTGTACAGTGTACAGTGTACATTCAAAAAAAGATAATTTGGAAATTTTGATGTTTCCTTCCGAAAGTGAAATTTATGGGTTTTTACCTGTAAATGAAAATAAGATGTTTTTACCCTTAAATGAAATTTAGATATTGTGTACTTTTAGGTGTTTTGAAAACTTAGGTGTTTCGTGATATATGAGAATTTCTGAACCAATTTAAGGTTTTACTTTTTCATACATCCTAAATGTAAATTGCACCGTCCCTGGAAGTAACTGTTTTTATAAACCGGTTTTTTGTTGTTGGTAAACAAAGCGTACTGCAAAGTTCAAAATATACTCATTGTATTGTAAATTTATCAGTAATGTCGGAACCCATTTGACTGTAGGAGTTATTCTATCCCCCGAGCGTCAATGGTAAACCTTTTAGATTTGTTTATTATCGTATTTATATGTATATTTTAGTTTAAAAATTTGTCCTGCAGAAATAAATATTTCTACTCTTCAACCATTCTTTAACTACGTGACTGTGAATCCGAAGAAATATATTCTTGATTTTGGGATTTGCCCGATATACACTCAACAGTAGGTGTTTTGGCATAGGTGTTTTGGTACCCAATCCGAATACAGGGTCACTAAATATTACCTCTTCAATCCCTTTAACTCTACTAAGTATTTTAGTTTTGATCAAATACCCAGCTTATTTAACAATTTGCATCTTATTCAAAAATGCCAACTGTACATAGCTGTACTGGTTGTGTCTTCTTTATGTACCTGTGGATCCACTAGTGTACATAATAATTGCTGGATCTGAAGGAACAGGGTTCACAGCAACGAACTTAGAAGTTTTCCCTAAAAAAAGAAATTTTAAGTTAGCGATTGAATGGAGTTCTAACTATTCGATACGAGAGGGGGAGGGAAATATTAAAAAATATGCAAGAAAAATCTCAAAATGTTTATATTTGAGTAAAAAAATTGCTTAGTGCTTACCCAACTCCACAACCTCCTTAAATGCAATTATATTTATCCCCTCTCTAAAACCTAAAAAAATACATTTGCAGTTGTATAAAATGTAACGAAAAAAAAATAATAGAAAAAAGTTCCTATTGTATGATTAGATCTTTTGTATAATTATTAATTATATACATATGTATTTAATATATACATATATATTTGGAAACAAATTAAATAATTGTCGAAGACAACGGAAAAAATTGTAAAAATGTCTATATTACTATATTTCTACATTTCTACATTATTTATTTCTATTATTCTATATTTCTACCATCTTTCTGGAATTGATGAAGTTGATCTTCTATCACTACCAAACATTTGACAAGGGGTGTTCTAAAAATAAAATAAAATAAGTTTAAATAGATAATAGATAATGTACTCTGAGGAAGGTATACCCCGGCCCTCATGAGCCTAATAAATATGCCTTACAGTATCGAGCCTCCATTCGCACAAAACGTTTTATCCTACAATTTTAAAGGTTTCTTACGCAAACATTATTATATTGACTAACAATAAATAAAATTGAATCTATCAATGCAACAACTTTTTCTGAACATTTTAAATTTTAAAATTTTAAATCAAAAATTGCTACTGAAAAAACAGAATTCATACCCGCATATTTACTCTATATTGTAGAATAAAAATTTAGAACATTATTGGAATAAAATGTTATTATAAAATTTCTTCAATTTATATTCTATGACGGAGGCTCGGTACTGCATAGCAAATCTGGAAGGCTCGGGAGTCGGGATGTATCCCCATTATCCGATATTGGGATTTTATACCAAGCATTATAGGTATATATAATGCTTATTTCAGAATTTAAGGGACTGTAGACGTTTTTTTGTGACTTTCGTGGCTTGTCCGATTCTAAACCATAATCACGTGAGCAACTATGAGTAATATGTGGCCCTTTTTCTTTCTTGGTAAAAATCAAATAGAAAAATTTAAATTATGTCCACAGTTGACAAATTTGAAAACAAAAATAAACCACCTGTGGAGAATCTGCTTGAACCTCGGAAGAAGATCAAAAGTTGTGACAACTATTTCAACCTAAATGTAATCAGTTTTTTTTATTGAGTCTCTCATCATCCAGTCAGCGAATTAATATTACTAAGTACTTTAAATAAGGTTCGAACTTTATGCATTGATTATTCATGATTACTTTTAATGCAATACAGAACAGTTTTGAACTGGTTTTTTTTCCAAACTCAGCAAAAATGTAATAATTTCTATATTAAATTTACTTAAATATTGGGTTATGCTTTCACAAAATCATATCGGTTAGTTTTGGTTTAATAAAAAGATGTAGGAACTAAAATATAGATATTTCAGCGGATCCAGAATCAGGGTGCGAAAAAAATGCAGTTCTTAAGCCACCGGTTCAATATTTGTTTTATTCGATGGTTGTCATTACTAAAGTATGCACAAATTTGAAAAATCATATTTTTGTTTGGATTTACCCAAACCAGAACCTGTACTTTAAAAATGAACTTAAGTTTGACCATTATCAACAAAATAATATGATCTTTCGTCAAATTCTGATCCGAATCGTAATCTCTCTGATACAACTTTGATCCTTATCATCATCAAAATTTCATAAACAAACTGAAACCTTGTCATGAGTAAATCATTGACCTATATTCTGAACCTGAACTATCTCCCGACTTTAAACCTGAAATTGACCTTAAACCTAATCTTGAACCTGAATATAAACCAAATCTTGAACTTATTCTAGAACCAAATCTTGAACCCGTTCCTAGGCCTAACCTTGAACCCGGTCCTACTCTAAACCTGACCTTGAACCTGATCCTACTCTAAACCTGACCTTGAACCCGATCCTACTCTAAACCTGACCTTGAACCCGATCCTACTCTAAACCTGACCTTGAACCTGATCCTACTCTAAACCTGATCTTGAACCCGATCCTACTCTAAACCTACCTTGAACCCGATCCTACTCTAAACCTGACCTTGAACCCGATCCTACTCTAAATCTGACCTTGAATCCGGTCCTACTCTTAACCTGACCTTGAACCTGATCCTACTCTAAACCTGATCTTGAACCCGATCCTACTCTAAACCTGAGCTTGAACTCGATCCTACTCTAAACCTGACCTTGAACCTGATCCTACTCTAAACCTGATCTTGAACCTGATCATACACTAAGCCTGACCTTGAACCCGATCCTACTTTAAACCAAACCTTGAACTTGATCCTACTCTAAATCTGAGGTTGACCTATGACGAGCGCCTGACCTCTGTTTGATTGATGCCGTGAATGACCGCATCATCTCCAAGGTTAGTGTACAAAGTGACAACGGGGAACGTCTGCTTGAAACAAGCCTAAAAATAAAACCATTAAACGCGATTTAGAAAAAATAAAATGTCTGATTCACATAGGTTACCTTGTAACCTTTATCTGATAAATAATGTGGATGACATTAACGTCTTTTTTATGATAATTTTTTATTTGTTTTTTAGAGAAACCACAAGATTTTTTTAACGACTTTTTACTCAATTTTGGTAAAATGCCCCGCCGTGAAAAAATACAAATGCAGCTAAACTTATCTGCAAGCTAAAATTTAGTGTTCACAAATATCCTTAAATGGATCGGAAATGTCTGACAAGAAAGAAAACTTTTTTATCTATTTACATTTAAGGAAATGTATCAAGGTTTGCATTCTGAGCTTAGAAAATGGACACGCATCAGCTGGTCTATTTCAAGAGAAGTAATATACTCTATTTATTGACAGAACCAGAGTTTTGTCAATGATTGGCTACAGGCCAATTACATGACAATTCTGATTATTTTCTTTGTTCAGGGATTGGGAGGAGAGGGGGGGGGGGAAGATCAAGCACAGGGGATAATTAAATAGGAAGAAGTGAATAAAATTGAAAAAATTAATGTTAAGAAAATAAGGTAGAAAGAAAGGAGAGAATGAAGGAGGAAAGCGTATTTTAAGTGACCCTCCATGCAAAGATAACAATGCCCGATTTACAACGGTTCCCCTGAAACCTTAAACATTACTCTGATCAAAAATGTGGAGGAAAACTTGGTTTTCTGACTCAAAGTGTTTGTTTCTGTGAGTTTCTCCATAGTTTCTTATAAGCAAGAAATTGTCATCCCACTTTTGCAAAGTACCCGCAAATAAAGATTAACAGATTTAATAAACAAAAACATGCATTTTTAATTCCTAAATGATCAGACAAAGATTCTAAGGATACAGTTGAGAAGACATGAAAGAAAGGCGTACATGATTGCAGGGGGGGGGGGAGGGGAGGGATAAGAAGGTTTCTGCAGAAATTGTTACTACTCCAGGAGGAACTAGAACGAAGAATGCAAATGGGGGTGGGCGTCGGATGACAAGAAAGGAGAAAGGAATCAGGTGGGAGAAAGGAATGGGTTTGGGAGCGAGTGGTGGGTGGGGAATATATAGATGATAGTTTAGCTGCGCAAATATGCCCTTGACTATTTGACACGCTTTCTTCATTTAGCAGAATCAAACGCTTTCAAAACGTCATTCTTACTTCAATGCAGTTTCGCTCTGAGTATGTTAATTTGACGGACGTTGTGTGTGTCAGTGTGGGGAAGGGGGTCTTCATAATTGATACGCATATCAATTTCAAACTAAAAAAAGCTGACATTGTATAAACTTTCAAACATTAAAATTATTTTCAATTTCATAATAACCTAAATTCAAATATTTACTTTGGTACAAATATATTAAACTTTAAACAAAGTGTATCCGGTTAAAATATAATTAACTTTGTATTTTTGTCTATTTCATGAATAGAAATGACGAGGTATATCTGTGTTTTCTTGTAGAATGTATGGGTAAAAATACTTAAGGTCTACATCAGATTGCAAAGAAATAAGGAACCAAAAATTAGGAAAGTAATAAATTCATTAAATTTGGATTCCAATATATGAACCTTTTCTTAAATCTACAAAAATATTTACGCCCCCCCCCCTCTTAAACCCGCACACATACCTGTGCTGTAATCATCCATTCTGCTTTAGTATCCGCGAATATGCAAATATTTTGCAAATGTTTCTGCCCAAGCTCTCGTAAACCTTTCCCTGAACCAGACAATTTATGCAATAAATTTATCAATAAATTCAAAATTATATTGTTGCTAAATCATGCAAAGGCGTTCTGGGTTAACAGTTTGCGTTAACAGATAAAAAACATTAACTAATGAAAACCAACGTCAAGAGATGAAAACTATCGTTAAGAGATGAATACAAACGGTTAAGAGATGAAAACTAAGGTTATCAGATAACACCTATCGGTAAGAGATGAAACCCAACGTTAACAGATAAAAACCCGTGTTAACAAATGAACAGATGATAACCAATGCTAAGAGATAAAAATACGTTAAGAGATGAAAACCAACGTTAACAGATAAAATCACCTTTGAGAGATGAAACCCAACGCTAATAGATGAAAACCAACGTTATGAGATAAAACTCATGTTAACAAATAAAAACCACCGTTGACAGGTGAAAACCAATGTTAACAGTTAAAACCAACGTTAACAGATGAAAGTCAACATTAACAGATGAAAACCAATGTTAACAGATTACAGATTAAAACCAACGTCAACAGATGAAAACAAACGTTAACAGATGCGTAATTTGATGAAAATCAACGTGGAAGACTAAAGTTAACAGATGAAAACGGCTCAGTTTCATTTGCCATAATACTTTTGCCATAAGTTACACTTGCCATAAGTCACACTTGCCTTAAGTTACACTTGCCATAATGGTTACTCTTGCCATAATTACACTGGCTATAATTACTTTTGTCATAATTTTCTAATTTTTAAAAAGATCTAAATCTGTCCTGTTTATTGTAAATGCGGGAAATTTTCCCATGAAAATTCCCAACTTTAGTTTTCTCATTGTTTTAAAACAGAACAGTTGACACAAGTTCAGCACCATATTTTCTCACAATGGAGGACCCTTTGGTGACCATTCAGACCACAAGTAAGGGTAAACCAATGGTTAGAGACAGTAACTACCTATGTAGCCAATACCTCGTTTACAGAAGTGAAATATTGGAAATCTCTGCATTAGATTTGTAATTTGTTTTCAATTTGTAATTGTAAAAAAAAATATAAATATATGTTTGTTAATTCAAACCAAATTTAATTTTAATTATGGTAAGAGTAATTATAGCAAGTGTAATTATGGCAAGTGTCACTTATGGCAAGTGACTTATGGCAAGTGTTACTTACGGCAAATGTATTATGACAAATGTAATTAGGGCAAAAATATTTATGGCCAAATATTATGGCAAATGAAACTGAGCCCATGATAACCAACGCGAAGAGATGACAAAATCCCAACGAAAAAACAATGTGAACAGATAAAAACCTATGCTAACTAACCCACTTATACCAACCAACCAACCAACCAACCAACCATCAATCCAACCTTCAATATGTTACCTAAGTATGTGGATAGATTATCCACATCAACGTAAGATTGCCAGGTATAATCGCCAAGCTTCCATTTCTGTAAACATTAAAATATGAATTAAATATGAGCTAAAGAATAAATCGATTTTCTATTTATATCCGAAACTTCATTCTATTTAAATCTCTCAATATCCTAAAAACATAATCTGCGCAGAATATTTCAAAGGTTTCGGTTAAATCCTTTCCCCAAAATATTTTATTAATCTTTCTAATTACAATTTGTAATCCACGTCTGTACTATTTGTAGATCAACGTCTTCTCATGTAAATTGACCAAATGTGTTGAACAGGAGTCAAATTTACTCTTAAAACTTAATTAAAAATATTTGCACAACACTCTGTACAATCAAAATTATTTTTTATTTTTACTCTCACCTTTACTCTCTTAATCTGAACCTTAAAAAAGTTTACAAAATAATGTTTACCTTGAACATTTTCCCGTTAGGTTGACATTCGTCTTCTTCATCTAGCAGCTGTCTTGTACCCAGACATCTAAACAATATCATGGTATGGATGTTTACAGAAATTGTGACTGTTTAGATTTGCTTCTTTGTGCAATTTTACAGACTTCACTGTAAGTGAACACTGAACTTGCATGTGTGCGCGTTCTATAGAAAAGCAGTGCTTAGGATCCGGATCCGTTGGATCCGCAAGATTTTAGCTTCATGGATCCGGATCAGCAAAAATATGCGGATCCACGGATCCGGATCCAGAGGATAAAATATCAACTAAAAACTGCAAAAAAACTTTTTATTCCTAAAACCCAAATCTGAACTTTTGAAAAAAGAGATTATAAAAATTTCCTCATTTCTGAATGGTTCAAGTTTTAAAAACAAAACAAAAATTTGAAAATTATTTTTTGTTTTAAAATTCAGTAAATCTTAAAGAAATGACCTGGATCTGAATTTGGATCCGAATCCATTTATTCAAAATTAAATGGATCCTAAGCACTGTAGAAAAATGTAATTTCTGCGTGACAATGAAGATATAAACTGTTCGCCACGCATCGCCGTAACTTCTAGTGATCCTCCATTTATAGAAGGGAGAGTCCAATTCACAACAGTACCCGTAAAACCGCTGAGGGTTTAAGAATGAAAGATATGTCCTAGTGAAAATTGATAATTTCCAGTTTTGATTTCTCTGTAAATGACTATTTCTTTAAGATTTGCTTACTCTTGTGTTAAAACTTGATAAAAAAATTGGAAGTGAAGAAATTTTAAAAATATCTCTTTTTTTAAAAGTCCAGATTTGAACTTCGATAGCAAAAAGTTTTTTTACAGTTTTTAGTTGATATTGTGTCTTTGGATCCGAGTCCGTGATCATAATTCATGAACTCCTTCTCTCAAGTTGTATTATGAATGGTAGTGCTGACAATTGTCCATTATTGCAAAATATAATTACTTTATAAGAATAGACAAAACAATTTTATTCATTTTAAAACATTTAACATTTTTGTGTGTGTTTGCATTTATACCTCTGATGCGAGTACTTCTCTAGACCAAACTGGAAACATTTAGCCATAGTATCAACCCCAGCATTTATCAGTTCCTGAACAATTAAAAAATATATATTTTCAAAGCAGAGGGAAAAAATTAAATACGGTTTGATCTTGACAGTTCAACAAGTGCTTAGGATCCGGATCCGCAAAATTTTGGCTTCCTGGATCCGAATCCACAAAAATATGCGGATCCACGGATCCGGATCCAATGTGCAAAATATCAACCAAAAACTGCAAAAAAAAATACTGTCAAAACCCAAATCTGAACTATTGAAAAAAAGAGAGATTCAGGAAAACGCACGAGTATTATTTTGGTAGGTGTAAGGATATTAGTCATATGTAAGAGGGAACCTTTCAGATAAATAAGCTTAATCCCTAGTCAGGTGATCAGAAACAAATGTAACAAAAGCCCCCCCCCCTCTCAAAAAAACAGATAAATGAAAAATCCGGGTTCCGGATCCAGGTTATTTCTAAAAAATTTACTGAATTTATTTTTGAAAAAGCAGAATTTTATTGTCTTATTTTTATGCTAAAACTTTATGAACCATTCAGAAATCAGAAAATTTTTATTATCTCTCTTTTGTCAACATTTCACATTTTGGTTTCGCGAGTACATTTTTTTGTAGGTTTTGGTTGATATTTTGCACCTTGGTTCCGGTTCCGTTGATCCGCATATTTTTGTGGATCCGGATCCAGGTAGCCAAATCTTGCGGATCCAGATCCTAAGCACTAACTTTTAGCTGTAGCACCTCAGACGGCTTACCATTACCAAATGTATTCAACGTTATTGATTTAATCCGCTGGTCCCATATTTGAAATCCACTGAATTCTTTATTATCAAATATTGTAAATATTTAAACAAATTCGAAGGAAGTGATTGACGGGTGAAGAAAGAAAAGAATACAAAGACTAAAAATATAAAAGTTTAAATGCATGATATGCATGATATCTATTTCTTCTAGAGATCTAAAGTTCTCATGTCACAATTCTAAGAACCCGGGAGGTTCATTCCCCACCACCCCCTCCCCCTCTTCATAAAATGAGTTTCAGTGAAGAAGGAAAGAATGATACTTAGATTTTGTTTGTAAAGATATGTGTGTATAAATAAAATAAAACAGTAACCCTTCAATCTAGGGAGAGTAGGGGGGAAAGCAAAATTTTTATTAGCTTAAATTTGGTCGGATATGCAGTATTGACAAATCTGCTTGATGTCATATCTTGTTCTGTTATTTTTCGTTGTTCATTTCTAATTTTTTGCATACAAACTAGCTTGAAACAAATCCAACTTTCACCCCCCTCAAGTTTAATTCTACTTTAGCTTATTATTAATGTTTACTTGCTTCCCTTACTTTACTTTCTTAAAAATTTCAGTTAGATCTTTTTTCTTTCAGTGCGGATCTAGGATTTGGATCCGCATCAAAATTGAATAGATCTAAAGCACTGGTAGGACGTAATCTACCTGTAGAGCAGGAGTCATCTTGTGCGGAGATCTGATGGTATACTCTGTAGTTGAAGCTGTAACAACTTCAGATCTCTTCATCTTAAACTCTTCAAGTCTAAACAAGTAAATATATATATATATACAGTGAGAACCAGAAAACTCTGAAATAGGAAGACGACTTTTAGAGTCAGGTTATAACTTTAAAAAGTCCAAAGAGCATGAGACACAGAAATTGTGCAATGTAAACCAACCCATTTCATTGAATAAAATAAGTGTCTAGTTAAACTATTTGCTTTCTAACATCAAATACACTTATGTAATGCAATGTCTTAATATTCAATTGTTTTTTGGTTATCACTGTATATATTTGAGATTTTTTTATTGTTATTGCTTAGAATTAATTTATTTTACCATAAATATCAATTATCTAAAAGTATGAAGCCTACAAAAAAAATTCCCGCTCCGCGGCGCAAACACACATGACAACTCAGGGGGAACATCCCAAAAGGGGCTTCATAAAAAAATTGCGAATTCTCCAATTTTAAAATCTTTTTACGATTTTGTGGAATAGATTCTCATATGTTTGGCAAGATTTTTCCTTTTGATATTTTAAATAAGTTTGAAATGTTTTCTCCATAATAATTGTTACTTAAGTATACATCCGCATTGTCCCTTTGTCGAGAAAAAAAAACAACTGAAAATAATCATTTTTTAAAGAAAAAATGATGATTTCTTGTACTTTCAAAGTTTCTAACGGTACCGTTGTGAATCAGGAGTTCCACCCCTTTTTTAAATTAAGTCTCCAGTTCCTTGAACAACTGTTTCTTTTAAGATTTTATTGTTTTAGTGATTTAGTTTAGAAAGCTGTGAACTGCTGTTTTTAAATGAATTATTAATGCTAATCAAGGGTAAACGGAAAATCTAACATAATTAATAATGTTTAATGTCTACTGCGTGTCCGATGCAGGTATAAAAATAATCTAAAACATTTACATTTACATAAAGCTTTTTTAACTTTTGTTTAACATTACAAATAAATCTATGATTTTTATTTCTAAAAGCTGTTAGTTCATCGTCGAAAAATACTAACAATCCTTCACCAATTTATATTAAATATAGTGTAAACAATAAATATGTATTTTTCCTTATCCTTTACTTTTCCTTTGATTTCTATTTTTATATTTTCTTAGAATTTGGGGTATATATTCCCACAACCTCTACTGTTAGAGGTTTTCAAGTATTTTCTCCTAAAACACTTAATTTTGTATGTTTTTGTGATATTTCATAAATAAATAATTTTTTACTTTTACTTTTACTTTTTAAACCAGAAGCCTACAGATTTCTGATCAAAATTGTGTTGTAAATTTCTACGATATCATATACTCAAGCATTTATCCTCAAATTAGAAATGCCCACATTGGTTATCGAGATGAAGCGCTGAAGATTAAAGATTCTCCAATCTCTGGTCAATGAAACTGGCAAACGCGAAAAAAAAACTTCTTGATGGCTTAAAATCAAAGAAAAGAAAAGAAAAAAATAAATATAAAGTAAAAATAAATTTCTTCTCAATGTATGAAATATGATGATTATAGAAATCAAGCAAATAACGATAAACAGAAAAGATTACAAACCGCTAATCAGTCAAAAAAATTAGTAAACATTCGAACGAGCCTACATAAATAAATGAGTTGTCAAATTTCAACAATAAAATTAAGAAAATTAAGATACGTACTCCCGCCCCTCTCTTGTCTGTTAATAATTAAAATAATTACTAGCTTAGAAACCCTGCTTTGCCTGGAAAAAAAAACCTTTCATTTAGAAGTCAACATATTGATTATTCATGGTTATAACATTTTTAAGAAATATTAAGAGTGGTTCATGCTCAGGTATTCAATTTCAAGGAAGTAAAGGTAAAAGTTCAGGTCTGTCGGAAATAATAAATATTTTTAACCACGTTGATTGTATTAAATATTAAGAAATTTTTAAGGCAAAAAAACGGCAGACCACATTTTGAAATTCCGAAAACAAGAAGCAATTGATTTCTCTTTTCTCATTTACGAAGATTCCTCACTGTTTTTAACCAAGAACTTTTTTTTTCAAGAATGAACGATACACAAAACGAGAATTGGCCAAGAGTGAAACCAAAAGTACATCATGCAGAGATAAAAATAAATCCGATAAATCTAGGTTCTACAGTACTTGGATAGGATATAACGTCCGTAAAATTACATATCTTGAAATTGTGCGCTAGCCCAGAACTGTTAAAATAGGCAGATAGAATCAAATCTTTAAGCTGGCCGTGCTACCCCCCCCCCCCCCC